GGGAAATAAAAGTGATGGAAGTAAAAGTAAAAGCATAAAGACGAAAAGGAAAAGAAGTGAGAGGAATAAAAGAAATATAAAAAAGTATAAAACAAATAAGAAAAACCTCAAAGTCATACTTGGTATGAATGTGCTGCAACCACTAAGGATGAAGTCAAAGTTTTGGCTCAACACCATATGCAATGATTAAAGCTCAAGTTTGAGATTGCCCATACATACAACTAAGTCCTCCTTATCTTTTGCACATGCATGTGTACAGCTATTGCTATAAAGAATGAAAATTATCTCTATTACACAATACAAATATAGATAATAACATATAGCAATAGGCCGAACAATAGAAGATAAACTTGAGTTTGTATCAACTAACATAAAGAGAATAATAGAAAATCTCTTATTATAAAAACAAACTTGGAATATAAACAATGGATGAACTAATGCTAAATGAACCTCTTGATGATACTCCCAAATAAGGATGGTGATTTATTTGTGCAAGGACCCTCTATTACTCATATGACTCTGTGTTTCCCAAAAGAATTTTAGTGTTTAAACCTTCCACCACAACACTAACAGAATATTAACACTAAGCCCTCCACTCAAGAAATAGAAGATGCCAATCTAAAAAACTCTAACAACACTAATATATGTGGCCAACTTCATCATATTCTTAGCAATTGACATCATAGCTATGACCACATCCTCACCCCTATCCTTGAACACAAACAACAACAACCCCCATTGAAATAGAACCATCTCCCTATAAAATGGAACTAAAAGATGTGTAGTGAGAAGTGGAAAAAGTGATGTCTCATAATGTTGTATCAGTCAAAAAGCATTATCAAGGGTGATTAAAGTAAATACAGGCACAAGTCCTATAAAATTTTGATGAAATGATAACCATAACATTAGTAATTTGATCTACTTTTGCTCTACATGAATTAAAAGGCTCGGAAGCAAATGCCAAATTGCATCATTAATTTAGATGGCTCTTAATGAAATATTGTTGTTGAAAGGCATCATCACAGTCATTAGCATGTCCAAATGCATACTTGAAGATATTTGGCTAATCCACATAAGTGGCTGTACTTAAACCATTATAAGTATATAAGAAATTCATACAAATTCTGAGCATCATCCCAAAAATAATAGGTAGTAATCACTATAAAGTGATTAAATCAATAATACACATCCCCAGGATTCACATAGAAAACTCCCATTAGATGCAAGGATTGGCAACAAGAGCAAGAAGAGTTGTACCATGTGTTGTGAATGCTGCCAACAATTGAATTTAATTGTTCAACTACAATCAAATAACATTGAACAACAATACTAAGAATAATAGGAGGAAGAGGTTATTGCTTTGCCATAAAGATAAACAAAAAAAACATAAAAGTAAAAGAGAAAAAATTGAAAAATCTATAAGGAAAATGAAATTTAGACAATACAAAAATTAAATCTAAACCAAATCCTAAATTCAATCACTCCTCAGAAACAACTAAAATTACTTTTCATCTCCACTAATGTGAATGCATACAATATGGAAAGAGAATACAAAAATATGCATATCAATTAGCCCAAAAGCCTAGTTTATATATAATAATGAATGGTCTAGATTAAAACTAATCCAACAGGTATCAAAATCTCACTATGCTAATCTTAGTTAACAGCCATTAATATTAGTATATGGCATTGTACAGTTGGATCTCTCAAAAAGAAATTTATTAAAGTTAAAAAATATTTATTTTTTATGGAAAATATATTTTGTTGATACTTTTAAATGTATTATTATTTTGTGCAGCACCAATTTTGAGCGGCAGTTTCTACAGAGCCATCTTGACTCGGAGCATGAAACTTTCCATCAAGGCAGCACCTTGCCATAAACACTGACCAATGTAGCAGAAAAGGGATCACCAAACCGACATAGAAATGAAGTTGGGTGTGTATAGAGGATTTGAGCCAAGAGACTCTCTGCCTTGCTCCAGAGCTGAGCCCACGCAAATCAGGAGAGAGGCTCCCCAGAGCAGAAAGTTGGCTTTGTCCACCATGGTTTTTTCTTCATGTCTTTCTGGAGAGGAGGGGTCTCGATTGGGCCACAGTTGTAGTTTTCTGCATTTACGAAAAATTGCAAAAGTGGCAGTCGTTGTTTGTCATACTATCTTTCGAATCCAGGTTTCAGCAGGGCTACATACACTACTCAAGCATTGCCTGACTTGACACTTTCCACTGCTCTAAAGCTCCTTTCCTTGAATGAATCAGCATCTGGGCTTCTGGAGGAAGCTCCTAACAGACTCCTCCATCCCTCCGAGTTTGGCTCATATGGCATCGATCAATGAGCTCCTGTGCCATGCCAAAGTAGCCACCCCAGATCAACCATGCAAATTGTACTGTTGTATGTGAATATTGTAGTCCTGAATCATCTACTGGAAGTAACACCGTCCAGAGTAAACATCTCCCTTGTGGCTAGCCGCATGAGATTATCGCTCACGTAAAAGAAAACTCAATGGTAAACGAAAGTCAAATCTCATCAAAGTTGGCCTTTTTATTTAGCGAGACCTTCTAATGCTCGACCACGATCTCTTCAACTCTTTCCTACATCTCCTAAAGATGCTATCGTATAACACATCGAAGTGAATCCCAGCTCTATCTCTATTGACGATAAAATAGATGTGATCGGCCTCGAGGATGGTAAAATACCTGTATTAAGAGAAGTTTATGAGCACGGGAAATAGAAGCAAAGAATGAAGATCACAGTACCAAACTCCAGGTTGCAAAGCTTGGCCATCTTTAAAATCCGGTGCCAAAGGACAGTTCTTGTGAGAGTATGGAAACCGGGGATAAAGCATGGATATGGTGTTCAATGCGCCGTCATTGTCTTGCCAATCTTCGTCCCTGCTCGAAACCGTGAGAAACTTGGCACAAACAAGGAAGCACTTTGCTTTACCTGTAGCCTTCGTATGGGATATCCGGCAATGGATGCTTCCAACAGCTTATTTGCAGAGATCTTATCATCAGCAGCGGATGGATGTCAAGGAGCCTCGAAGGCACGATCCGTCCAAGGAGTTTTGTGGTCCTTTTCGTCGCATAGCTGATATAAGATTAGCAGGAAATGATGTAGTTCAGTTTTAGCAAGATCGAAGGAGCTGGATTTGCTTACCTGAAGTAGAATGTGTTCCTGTGAGTTCCCAAGTTGCTGTTGATCCCTACAGCGGACTGGATGCTTAGATCTGGAAGGATCCAGTCTCCGGTTGCAAATGGACCCGAATGACCAGCCAAGCACTTCACCAGGCCTCTGAGTCCAATCTTGTGCCACGGGAGTGTAAAGTGCTCGAAGCCAAAACCATAGTACTTTTTGAAGACAGGAATATCCAGCCACTCGTAGACAAGCACGGCTATCTTGAGAAGCTGTAGAAGAGACACCGTTTTCATTGTTTTCCCATCGAGGCTGCAAGAAGAAAATGTCAGATAAGCTGCATCAAAACTGTTGTCTGATTGTTGGCTTACTTGAGACCATCGATGTAGACTCTGGTGGTGCCATTTAAAGCTCCAGATAGCGAAGTCAGGCTCAAGACCCAATCAGCAGTAGACTCGTTGTAACCTTCAAATTGCTGCAAAGTAATCCAGAGGAACGAAATAAAAAATTCAAAACACAAAACAACAAAAGACTAATGAATCACACCTTATCTGCAAGCATTTGTTGAAGAACACGAATAACCTGCGCACCAGTGGAGTGTCCCACGAAATGAATGGGGTGGCTTTCATCCCATTCAGGATAATGACCTGTGAAGTCAGAAGAAAAAAACTTTAGAGAAAGGATTTTCAAGTTGGCATTGCTGACCTTGGCCATAATTCTTGCCAAACTGTGAGTGTCCGTAGTGTTGGCTGTGCTCAAAGCCGTAGTCGACAATCCCACCTTTGAGATAATAAAAGAGCTCACGAGCCCTGCGTGAAGGAAAAAAAGAGAGATCAAGTTCACGAAGAACACATCTTTCTTCACGAAGAACTTATGCGCAAGCTTACCTGTCATGGATGCTTGTCAGCGAACCAAGGTCCGGAACAAGCACTCTCTCGTCCTTCTCTTCCGCTCCAGCCCAGTAAGAAATGTTCCCAAGTTTCTAAAGAACAAACAAAGAGATCATGAGAGGAAGCTACACAAAGAAAAGAAACTTACCCCTTTGCCAAATCCAAAGATCCCATGGACAAGAACAATGGGGGCCTTCTCGTGGCCGTCGAGAAATGTCCCGTGGTGCGTTGTGGCGCTGCTCTCCTGCGGCGATCCCTTGTTAGCCAAGAACATGTGAGTCTCTTCCTCCGATTCGTCCTCGGGCTGCAACGCCACAACCCTGGAAGCCCTGATTCGCCGCCGGAAGCTACTGCAGCATAGCTGGATCGCGTCACCTAGCAGCACCGTGCTCACGATCGTCATCGCATACGTGAAATGTACCGCCACGCTCAGCCCCAGCTCGGCGAAGAGCCACCAGTAGTGGAAGAGACCGCGCATTATCAGCCAGCGGCGGCACGGCGATGATCGGCCGCAAGCCATGACTAGAGAAATCGAGAATCCGGATGGCTGGATCGAGCGCGATCTAAGAGAGACGAGGGAGAGTGAATTTGCCCTAGCTAGTAGCGCGCATCCAATTCAGCCATCATTCAAGGGATTAGACACACCACGGCCTCGTTTTCGCGCGGTTTTTGTTGTGAGCTGGATTTTAAATTTTAACTGAGAATGGAATCGCGCGTTTTGACTTGGCAAAGGGATTAATGTTTTTATCTCTTTCATCGAAGACCATGGGTTGACCACGCACGACCGCTTGACAAAGTCAAGAGAAGGCTGACCATCGACTAGCAGCCTTTTACAACGACCTGGAAGTAAGAACTAGTATTGGAAGATCATACTCTTCCTGGACCTTGATCGACACAAAGGAAAGTATGATCTGCCAATGCAAGTATGATCAAGATCTTGTGAAGCAAAGGTACGTACCTTCGATTCGCTGAAGTTTGAATCACATTCGTGTGCACAAGTTGGCGAGCAGCACGTACGCAGCATCGTTCCCCGGATTCACATCCAGCGCCTCCTTGCTCGCACAGGACCCGCGTCTCAGATCTCTGTGACTCCCGCAAGCGCCCAACAAGCACGTCCAGTCGAGAGCGTCCGGCACGAACGGCATGCTGCTCACCAGCTCCTGTGCGTCTGCCAAGTGACCGGCGCGCCCGAGGAGGTCGACGATGCCGCAGTAGTGCTCTCTTGTCGGCCGCAGTTCAAAGTCGCGGCTGATCGACGCAAAGCAGCTCCAGCCAGCCTCCACTCCGCCCGTGTGGCTGAAAGCCAGCAGCACGCTGATGAGACAAACTCCGTCCGGGACGATGGTCGTGTTCATCCGGTGGAAGAGCTCGATCACCTCCTCGTGACGACCATCTCGAGCAAATGCCGCTAGCAGAGCCGTCCACGAGACGAGATCCCTGGAAAACATCTGCTCGAACGTCTGCTTTGCCGCTCGCAGCTGCCCGTCTCGAGTGTATGCCGAGAGCATCGTGTTCCAGGAAACTTGGTCGCGCTCCGGCATTCGATCGAAGAGAAGCTTTGTATCGACGAGGTGCTGGCCGTCGTGGTTGTACGCAGCTAGCATGGCGTTGAGAGACACCTGGTTTTTCTCCTCCATGCCGTCGAAGATGTGCTTGGCTTCTTCCAGCCGACCGCTCTGTGCGTAGGCTGAGAGCATCGCAGTCCATGAAACAAGGTCCAGCTCCGGCATTTGGTCGAAGACTAGCTTGGCCTCTTGCAGTTTTCCACTGTTTGTCAAAAGTCCCAGCATCGCCGTGCAAGTGAGGAGGTTCTTCTCGTCCATTGTCTCGAAGACTCGCTTGGCTCCGCTCGCTTGGCCAGACTGCGCAAGAGCTACGAGCATGGCTGTCCAGGAGACGAGGTTCCTCTCGGGCATCTTGTCAAACACCTGCTTAGCCTTTTCCACCTGACCATTTTGAGCATACGCCGCTAACATCGCAGTCCATGAAACCAGGTTCCTCTCCTCCATCTCGTCAAACACTGACTTGGCTTTGTCCAGCTTCCCGTGCCGAGCGTAAACCGAAAGCATCGCACTCCACGAGATGAGATCTCTCTCTGGCATCTCGTCGAACAACGCCTCTGCTAGTTGCAAGTGACCATTCTCCGCAAACGCGGTGAGCATAGCCGTCCAGCAAACCAGGTCCCTTTCTGGCATCCAGTCGAACAGCGTCTTTGCTTCCTCGAGGTGGCTTCGATCTGTGTAGGCGACCAGCATTCCTGTCCAGGCCACGAGATTTCTTCCCGGCATCTTGTCGAACAGTGACTTGGCCTCCTGGAGATGCCCGTTCCGGGCATACACCGAGAGTAGCAAAGCCCAAGTGAAGAGGTTCTTCTGCCGTATGGAGTCGAAAACTTCCTGTGCATCGACCATGCTGCCGCATCTTCCATACATCTCGATCACGATGTTGGAGACGAACAAGTCGCCAGCCTCGAGGAGACGCAAAACTTGAAGATGGGCCTCCCTGGCGGCGTGGATCGTCCGCGTGGATCTTATCAGATGAATGCAGCCAGCCCTGTCAACCATCTTCTCCTCCACGCGGCTGCAAAACGTTCGCCATCAGCGAGTAATCTGACCCTTGTACCTCATCGCCCCTTTGAAGTAGCGACTGGAATGTGCTCCTTGCTACCGCCAAGTCCGCCACCTTTGAGCAAGCACTGAGAATGATCCGCCAAGTCAGTCCGTTTGGCTCGTAAGGCATGGAAAGCGCCACCTCTATAGCTCGGTTCACCTGGTTGCCACGTCCGAGCAAATCGATCAGGCAGTGGTAGTGCTCGAGGCGAGGCTCGAGTTTAAACTTGGAGCCCATGCTCCGGAAGATCTCGCTGCCTGCATCCACAAGCCCAGCGTGACTACATGCGTTTAAAGCCAAGAGTAGAGTTACCGAGTCGGGATTCACGGATTGCTGCTGCATTCGGTCGAAGGCATCCAACAGACTGTCTGTCTGTCCGGCGCGGCTGTAGCCAACCATCAACGCGTTCCAAGTTACAGTCTCGTTCGTGGGAAACGAGTCAAAAACGTAAGTAGCATCGAGCGTTCTCGCGCATCTGCCATAAAAATCCACCAGAGAATTCGTCAAGGCTGTGGAACTTTCAAATCCATACCTCAGAATGTCGCCATGGATCGACTTCCCAGTCGCCAGCTCCGTCAGGGATCCGCAGGCTTTGAGTGCCACCGCCAAAGTCGAAGCATTTGTGGTGATACTTCGAGATCGCAAATCAGCAAAGTACTCCAGTGCTATTTCACTCTCCCCGTTGTCAATGTACGCAAGGATCAATGCGTTCCAGGATACCACGTCGTGACGAACTAGTTCGATACCGTCGAAGGCTCTTTTGGCGTCCACCATACTACCGAGGCTTGAGTACATGTCCACCAGCGTACTCACAATCAGCCAGTTGGAGCCATAACCATCCTTCCGAGCATAGCTGTGCACAGCCATTCCTTTCTCCAGCACTTGAGCTCGATCTTCTGGTTTCAACACTTTCACAGCTAGACCACTGCACGCCTTCAACGCCGCGACGAAGCTAAGAGCATCAACAGGACAGTCCTGGAGCTCAAAAGCCTGTAGAGCCTGTTGCTCGTCCCCGTTTTCCACATATCCAAGTATCAAGGCGGTCCAGGAACGAACATCACGATGCTTCATGCCGTCAAACACCCTCTGAGAATCCACCATACTTCCACACTTTGCGTAGAAGTCCACCAAAGTGTTCCCAACGAAACTGTTGAAGTCGCCAGCCTTTGCAGCTATAGAGTGAAAAAACATTCCTTTCTCAAGAGCTTCCACCTTGACCATCTTCTCGTTGCCAAGCTCTTTAAGCTTTTCCTTCGATGCCAAAATGCCACAAGCCTTTAGTGCAGCGACCAAGGTTCTACTGTCGGATCGAATTTGAAGCCGCATCATAACTGTGAACAAGCTTAGAGCCAGCTCGGCTTCCTGGTTCTCCACGTATCCCAGAATCAACGAATTCCAGGAAACGAGATCACGAAATGGCATCTTGTAGAACAACCTGCTCGAATCCACCATGCTCCCACACTTGGCATACATGTCCACCAGGATGTTCGAGAGAACTAGATTCGGCTCGAAACCATTCTTCTCCGCGTCGCTGTGAATAGCCATGCCTTTGCTCAGAGCATCCAACTTGTTTCCTTTCGCACCAAGACCAGAGCAAGCACGTAGAGCAGCGGCAAAAGCTAGAGCATCCGGTCGACCAACACGTCGCAAGAGCTGGAACATCTCGAGTGCTTCCTTCTCTTCTCCATTGTAGACATATCCAGCCAGCAAAGAGTTCCAAGCCACCGCTGTTGGATGGGCCATCGCGTCAAACACCCGTCTGGAATCCGCCATGCTTCCACACTTTGCGTAGAGGTCGACAAGAGAACTGCCAACAAAGTCGTTCCTGTGAGCTCCAAGCGAGGCCGCATAGCCGTGGACGAGCTTCGCCTTTTCCAGCGATTTTAGCTTAGTTCCAGAGTTCCAATCCTCCTTTCTTGCCAGATTGACGCAAGCTCTTAGACCAGCTACGAACGATCGCGAGTCTGGAGCACAGCCATACTCTTCCATCCGAAAGAGCATCTCCAGCGCAGTCTCTTCCTGCCCATTCTCCGCGTATCCCAGAATCAAACAGTTCCACGACACGAGATCCGGCCACTGTAACGTATCAAACACCCTCCTCGCGTTCTCCGGGCTCCCACATTTCCCATACATGCTGACAATGGAATTCGCCACCAGAATCCCCTGCTCGATCCCAGCCCGGATCACGATCGCGTGGACTCTCTCCGCGCTCTGCAAATCCCTGGAGCTGCCGCAAGCACCGAGCAAGGCAAAAATGCCCGATCCAAGGCGCTGCTGGACGGCGATGCTCGCCGCGACCTCTGTCATGCATCGCCGCTAGCTGGAAAGAACCTACTCACAGGAATCGACGAGCGCCAGAGCCAAGAACCCTAGAGAACGAGCTAAGAACCCTAGAACACATACATTCCCGCCATTACAAATAGCCAAAAGCTCGAATTTTATTCGTGTATCGGCACCATCGTTTAGAAAACTTGTCCAGGCCACTGCGCGGCCTCGTTGCTAGCTATTCATACAAACACAAAGGAATTTTCCTTACCCCCGGCTGGCTATGTACGAGACCACCACCGTGATGTCGTCCATTTTGCCACCATGGAAGCGATATCCAGCGTCTTGGGCCGCCGCCGCGAATGGAGTCTGGCGATTCCTGTCCAGAGCGCTCGCTTTGGCAAGAGTCGCCAGTTTCTCCGCTGTAAGCTGCGGCCCAAATCCCGATCGAGTCGAATGAACGACGACGCTGGCTACTTCTGTATCATACACGTTGTCGAACAGGCCGTCCGTTCCCACGACTATAACATCTCCGGCAGCAACTTGCACCGAGAACACCTGCGTAGAAACCGGAAGAACTTAAAGAGCTTTTTAGCGAGAGATGTCTGGCGAACCTGTGCGCAAGTCGGTGGATCGCTGCCGCCGTGCTCGAGTTGATACGGGATGTTGAAAAGGTGTTGTTGAACTGGCGACTTAAACACTGTTTTCCCGTTTCTCAGCACGATGAAGCCACTGTCACCAAGGTTTGCTGCTTGAAGCCCCTGCAAAACAGGAACACTATCAGTAAAGAAGATAAAAAACGAGAAGGAAAGTTCTCACATTGTCCGAGAGAGCTAGAATGCATGCTGTGGATGACCCCTTACACTTCGTCTTCGAGTGAGCTCTCACGAGAATCCTGACAGGGTCGACCAGCCCGTGAGGCTCTTGCTGCGCGGCTATGATGGACTGCACCATAAGTTCCCTCGCGTACTGGCCAGCGTCCACTCCAACGTCGGCCCAGCCGCCAACACCGTCGGCAACACCCACGACTTTCTCGTTGTCGCAGATGAAATGCGCATCTTCGCCACCCTTGGCTTGTTTGTCTGGATGAGGAAGATAGCACGCACCCGAGACCAGCGTCAGTGGTCTACTTTGTCCAGCAGTCCTGCATCAAACCGGATCAAGCACAAAGAAACAAAGAAAGAAGCGACAGGAGAAAGAATCTTTCTTACCCCTCCGAGCAGCCTGAAACATTCCCCTCAGTGTCGGAGTCCAAAACTATCCCTGGCGAGAGAAGATCAGCCTCCTTGGAGCTGGAGTTGTGCTGAGACAATCTCCGCGAGCTTGCGGCGTCCTTGTCGAAAGCTCCCTGGCCAAGCCGGAAGCAATGATACGCAGCAGTGTCATGGAGAAGGCCACGACTCCCTGTCCCTCTCGAGGAGGAGAAAGTATTCTCGATCCACTTGGACCAGGAATCTCTCCCTTCCTTGCCACCTCCACCACCGTCCAGTTGGAACTCACACACTGCCCCGCCCCCTCTCGCCACGCACGACGAACTACCCCCGGAGTTCTTCCCCGAGAAAGAGACCGGCAACCTTCCATCGACCAAAAGTTGCCACGACTGGTAGCTACAGCTCTGCCAAGCCGGACCAAACACCGAGGGAGTGGCGAATGCCCGAGAGAATGCCTCGGACACCGAAAGCGGAGCGCCCTCTTCGAAATTGGAAGAATCGGCGCTGGAAGAACTCGAGGAAGACGAAGACGATGGTGGCACTCTTCGCGTACCCCGTGCAGCGCCACCAATGGCGGTCTTGGCCGAAGAATAGACGGGATAGGCTGCGGCGGCCTTGGCCCTTCCAAACAAAACGTTGAGCCGATGCTGTGATTGCCTATAGCTACTGCTAGTACCTGCTTTCAACTTCCACACGATCTGGGGCGTCGGCATCCTCAGCTCGCAAGAGGGCGAGCACTGCATGATTCGGCCGCCCGCCTGCGAATCAGCAATCCCTCACCATCGCCGCCATCCCATGGAGCTGGAGAAGAGAAAGGAGAGAGAAAGAGAGCGAGAGAGAGGAATCAGTCCCACGCACGAAAGAACCCTAGGGTTTTTCCTGTTCCAAAGTCTTTACATGGCTGTTGGAGCTCCCGGGAGCCGGGCAGTGGAGTGACCGATCGATCGTGTGGATCGATTGCCCTAGATTGTCGCTGACCTAGGCAAGAACAAGGGCTTATTTTTCTTCCGTGCTCCACCCTCTCTTCTCACGAGCAAATGACATGGCTAGAAAGGTGACGCGTGTCACGGGTACATTTGTGACACGTGTCAATTAGATTCTTCAATGTATTTAAACATGGGGCTCGAGGCGGGAAGAGCTCTTTTGTGTTTGTCCGAGCTAGGGTCTTGCGGCGCAGCGATACGTGTTCTTGACGACCGCCGCTAGGGATCCCGCATTGGAGGTGCCATGGCTGAATTAGCGCTTGTGGTGACTCTCGCTCTCGCGGTAAGATCTCGCTTCTTCTCCCGGCGAGCGATCTTCCAAAGAATCAACGATTTGTGTGTCCTATGATGAAGATCGTGTGGAGATTTCGGTTCAATATGCTCGATCTGGACGTACAGAGCAGGTCTGCCGCTGGAATCGCACAACTTGGATCGAAATGCGCTCGTCTTTTGTGATATTTTCAGGACGGATGAGATAGTCTGGATGGAAGATACCGCGTCTACATGGAGCACGCAGGTTTTTCCCGCAGCATTCCTCTCCTCCATTGAAATTTCTTGCAGGTTTTGTGCCCGTCGATCCATGAAGCTCCCTCCAAGTATCTCTCCATGGTGATACCTGCGTACAACGAGGAAAAGAGGCTTCCTTCTACGATAAATGAGACTCTAAGGTAACACCTCAGTACAAATTCCGAAAGAACTGCCGCGCTCGGTTTTACAGGTACCTGGACGAGCGAAGCTTTGACGATGCAAACTTTACGTACGAGGTGACAATCATCGACGATGGAAGCGAAGATTTGACGTACAATGTGACACTGGATCATGCGTCGCGGTTGAAAGTGATCAAGCAAACACCAAATCTCGGAAAGGGTGCTGCGATTCGCAAGGTATGTCCCGTCATGCCTTGCCATCCTCCATTATGCTTTTGACCTGCACTTTCCAGGGAGTCCTCTGCTCTCGCGGTCAGCTCGTGATCACAGCAGACGCGGATTCAGCAATCTTCATACGAGACATGGGGAAACTGGAAGAGAAAGCACTGAACCTGACTGCATCAGGAGATCCCATAGCCGTGTTTGGCTCGCGCTGCAAAGTAAAGGTAGACGAGCCTCTCTACTTTGGCTCGCTCCAAGACTTAACTCGTCGTGATTTTGATCTCTTTAGCGACCTCTTCTTCGAAGCATCATGTCGAAGGTCTTTCACGCACTCGTGGTCTTGATAACCGGGACCGACGTGGCCGACACCCAGTGCGGGCAGCGGCCAGACTGTTCACGAACCTGAGGCTCCAGAGGTAGAGTTTCTTCTCTTCTCTCGGAAATTCTCACAAGCAGTGTTCTCTCAGGTGGGCTTTCGACGTGGAGCTGATCTATCTCGCCAGACGCCTGGGAATCCCAGTGTACGAGGTGGCCGTGAACGCCGTGGACGTTACCGGATCCAAGCTTCGCCCTTCCAGCGTCTGCCACGCGCTGTACGAGATCACGATGGTGGCCATAGCTTATGGACTTGGCTTCTGGGAGATTCGGTAGGGAAGATCGGAAGATCCATTCTTTTTCCTCGGTGGAGTAAGTAAATTTTGCCGCGTTTTACTATAAATCAAATGTGTTCGGTGATAAATAGGAAAGTAGTAAATTTGATGATCTTTAGTTGCAACTCACTAAATGTGTCCATGAGGTTTGTGGAAGATGCTGCAGAGCAGAGGCGCTGTAATGGAAGGAAAGTGGTAAATATGAACCACCTTGATGATCTTTAATTGCAGCTCACTAAATGTGCCAGAGCAGAGGCGCTGTGATGGAGAGAGACATTAAAATTTTTGGTTCCATGGTCTTTTCATTTTTTCTGTCTGGTGACTAAAACCGAGGAAAAATCAAGCATATATATCCCGGAAGAGAACGTGAGCCCGAAAGAAAAGCAAATGCTAGAGCTACTGGGATTGCTGCTGCTGCTGCTGCTAGCGCTGCTCTCAATCCACCGCTTCTCGCGAGGTGGAGGACGCGATGGAGGATTGCCACTGATTGGCCACACAGTGGAAATTCTAGCCAATTACCACCGGATCTTCGACTTGCTCCTGGAGAAATTCCAGAGCCAGGGCACGAGCACCGTACCACTGTGGATTCCTGGCCAGTCCTACGTCTTCACGGTGGATCCAGCCAATGTAGAGTACATTCTCAAGACAAGATTCCAGAACTTCCCAAAGGTATCTTATATGATCCAAATGGAGGGAGTGCGTGAGTGATCGCAGGGCGAGCGCTTCCGGGAGAAATTCCAGCCGCTGCTGGGCGGCGGGATCTTCAACGCCGATGGCGCGGCGTGGAAGAGCCAGCGCAAGGCGGCCAGCTTCGAGTTCGCGTCCAGGGTTTTGCGGGAGTGGAGCGGCAGCGTGTTCCGGGATCACGCGCTGGAGCTCGCCCGGATTGTGGACGCCGCGGCGTCCAAGCAGAGCTCCCTGGAAATGCAGGCAAGAAAGATCTCTCGCTCTTACCGAGAGTCACTTCTTTCTTTCTTTGCACATAGGACCTCTTCCAGCGAATGACGCTCGACACGATTTGTAGCCTGGGATTTGGCGTGCGCCTCGGCCTTCTCTCTCCGACGCTCCCGCACAACGATTTCGCGGCCGCTTGCGACCGATGCAACGCGATCGTCTCCTTTCGCTTCGCGGATCCCTTTTGGAAGCTTAAGAGGCTGCTGCGCATCGGCGAGGAGCGCGATCTCCCAAAGAACCTGGCCACGGTCGACGAATTCACGTACAATATCATTCGCAAGAGGAGGATCCAGCTCTCCAAAGAGAACGAGGATCTTCGCGTAAGAGATTTCTCGTAAACATTGATCTTGACGTGTTGCTTTCTTTGTTCCAGGCTCGCAAGAAAGATCTTCTTTCGCGATTCATGCTACTGGACGAGAGTTCCTCCGACGTTTATCTCCGCGACATGGTCCTCAACTTCGTGATGGCTGGGAGGGACACCACCGCCGCGACCCTCTCGTATTTCATCTACATGGTTGCCTCTCACCCCGATTGCCAGGGCAGGGTCCATTCGGAGCTTCTCGACTTCGAGCGCTCCAGTCGCCAACATCCAGGCCATGACGACGATCCAAGCTCCATAGAAAGCTTTGCAAGTCTCCTCACGCTCGAGGCTCTGGCCAAGCTCCCCTATCTCCACGCCGCAGTAAACGAGACCCTCCGCCTCTACCCGACCCTGCCACTGGTACGTAAAGTTTATTGAGAATCTCTTTTTGTTTATAGCGTGAGGATCTCCAGAACTTTAAAGGCGTTGCCAGCGACGACGTTCTTCCGGATGGGACGCGCGTCCGAAGAGGCGAGATCGTGTCTTACGCGGCATACTGCATGGGCCGGATGGAATCGCTGTGGGGACCTGATGCTGCGGACTTCCGCCCCGAGAGATGGCGCACTGCCGATGGATCCAACTGGGATTTCAACCCGTCGCCCTTCAAGTTCATAGCATTCCAGGTTCTTGAAATGTTCGCTATAGCCATCTTAGATCCTAAAAACCTCTCCTCCCACAGGCAGGGCCTCGCGTTTGCCTTGGCAAGGACAGCGCTTATCTCCAGATAAAGATCACCGCGGCGCTTCTCTGCCGCTTCTTCGAGTTTCGTCTCGTTCCGAACCAGACTTTCCACTACCGCGTCATGGCCACGATTTCTCTGGCTTCTGGGATTAAAGTGGTGCCACTGAAAAGGTGACGGGATCTTGCCAGCTGGTAAAATTTAATGACTAGAAACAAAAGTGGGAGCCGATGTTTGTCGCCATCGTTCAACTAAAAATAACAAGGAGCAGCTTATACCGAGATCACAACTCTAAAGTTGACACTTATCCGTAGATTGTGTCGATGAAGCTTAATGCGGTGATCTTGGAGTCCGTAAAATTACTGGAACTTTAGTGATGGGGATGTTATTTACAGGTTGCAAATCCTGAGCTGAGAGTTCCTTGAACAATCTTGGCTGCTTATGTGCCGTGAGCGATCCGGCATGGCAGAGTTTCTTCTGCTTGTTAACGCTAGGGATCCACGTCTATAGACTTGGCTTCACCATCTATTCTTTTGGTTACTTCAAACCAAATAGAAAGAAAAAGGAAACTTTGCCCTTCTTCTTTACTATATAAGTCAGAGTTTTGGTTATTAGCGCATACCTAAAGAAGAAGCTAACGATGTATCTTTCGGTTGTTATTCCCGCGTACAATGAAGCGTTGCGCATCGCAGAACCCCTGGATCACACCTTAAGGTCTGTCTTGATTGAAACCTTAGTAGCATATATGTTTATATGCATGTTTTTCATAGATACCTTGCCCAGAGAGCCAAAAGGAACCGCCACTTCACATACGAGGTTATTGTCGTGGATGGCTGCAGCAAAGATTTAACACCTGACATTGTCTGGGAGATGACAAAACGGTACCCTTGCCTGCGGTTGATACAGCTTGATCGCAATCTGGGCAAAGGTGGAGCAGTCAAAGAGGTTTGTGAAAAACAAGCCCATGGTTTAGAATAATCTCTGATAGTTTTTTCTTCTTCTTCTTCTATTCTGCAGGGAGTTTTAGATTCACGTGGTGAATTGATATTAATGGTTGATGCGGATGGTGCGGTTGACATCACCGCTTTTGAAAGTTTTGAGCCAAAGGTATATTAAATTAGTGAAAATTTTACAATAATACATATACTAATGTTGGTTCAATAACAGATTGAAAGATTTCGGAACAACAAGCCAATGGTATGGTTTGGTTCTCGCCTGCGTGAAAAGGTTTATTAGTTGAATTTGATACTTTAGAAAACCTCTATACATGTGTGCTTCCAGAGACAATGGTACCGGAGCATACTGTCCCAAGGCTTTCATTATCTCACAAGGATGTTCATTGGAAAGCATGATATCAAAGACACTCAGGTATTGGAATTATAGAAACTTTTTTGTGCTTTGCTAATTCTGGTTTTATTTCAATAGTGTGGGTTTAAATTATTTACTAAATCAGCAGCTAAAAAATTATTCAAAGAGCTCTCAACCAGTAGGTGGTCTTTCGACGTGGAACTAATCATGCTTTGCAATGTATATGGCATCCCAATCACTGAAGTTCCAGTTGATTTCACAGACATTCCGGGCTCCAAGATCACCACATTAAGCTTCATCCATACCATCTACGAACTGGCATGCATAGGCTTCAACTTTAGAATCAAGAGAGCTGTGTGTTCTCAATATGAGCAGCTCCATACAATGTTTAGTTGAATCGAAGATGGCGACAAACATCGGCCATTCCGGTCTTTACTCAGTTTTGTTTCTAGTCATTATCCCGTCACCTTTTCAGTGGCACGACTTCAATGCCAGAAGCCAGAGAAATCGTAGCCATGACGCGGTAGTGGAGATTCTGGTTGGGAACGAGACGAAACTCAAAGAAGCGACAGAGAAGCGCCGCGGTGATCTTTATCTGGAGATAAGCGCTGTCTTTGCCAAGGCAAACGCGAGGCCCTGCCTGTGAGAGGAGAGGTTTTAAGATTTAAGATGGCTATAGCGAAGATTTCAAGAACCTGGAATGCTGTGAACTTGAAAGGTGACGAGGTGAAATCCCAGTCGGATCCATCGACGGCGCGCCATCTCTCCGGGCGGAAGTCCGCGGCATCGGGCCCCCACAGTGATTCCATCCGGCCCATGCAGTATGGCACGTAAGACACGATCTCGCCTCTTCGGACGCGCGTGCCATCCGGAAGAACGTCGTCGCTGGCGACGCCTTTAAAGTTCTGGAGGTCATAGTTAAAAAACGAGATTCTGAAGCAACTTTACGTACCAGTGGCACGGACGGATAGAGGCGCAGGGTCTCGTTTACTGCGGCGTGGAGGTAGGGGAGCTTGGCCAGAGCCTCGAGCGTGAGGAGCTTTGCAAAACTTTCCATGAAGCTTGGGTCATCGTCATGGTGTTCGTGTTGCCGGCTGGAGTGATCAAAGTCGAGAAGCTCCGAATGGAGCCTGCCCTGGCAATCGGGGTGAGAGGCAACCATGTAGATGAAATACGAGAGCGTCGCGGCGGTGGTGTCCCTCCCAGCGATGACGAAGTTGAGGACAATGTCGCGGAGATAAGCGTCGGAGGAACTCTCGTCCAGTAGCATGAATCGCGAAAGAAGATCTTTCTTGCGAGCCTGGAACAAAGAAAGCATTGCATGAAACAGAAGGGCAAAGAGAAAGTTTCTTACGCGAAGATCCTCGTTCTCTTTGGAGAGCTGGATCCTCCTCTTGCGAATGATATTGTACGTGAATTCGTCGACCGTGGCCAGGTTCTTCGGGAGATCCCGCTCCTCGCCGATTCGCAGCAGCCTCTTGAGCTTCCAGAAAGGATCCGCGAAGCGAAAGGAGACTATGGCGTTGCATCGGTCGAAAGCGGCCGCGAAATCGTTGTGCGGGAGCGTCGAGGAGAGGAGGCCGAGGTGCACGCCAAATCCCAGGTTACAAATCGTGTCGAGCGTCATTCGCAGGAAGAGATCCTGTGATCCAAAGAAAGAAATATTTCGCGATTATCTAAGAACAGAGAGCGAGAGGAGATCTTTCTTGCCTGCATTTCCAGGGAGCTCTGCTTGGACGCTGCGGCACGCACAATCCGGGCGAGCTCCAGCGCGTGATCCCGGAACACGCTGCCGCTCCACTCCCGCAAAACCCTGGACGCGAACTCGAAGCTGGCCGTCTTGCGCTGGCTCTTCCACGCCGCGCCATCGGCGTTGAAGATCCCGCCGCCCAGCAGCGGCTGGAATTTCTCCCGGAAGCGCTCGCCCTGCAATCATTCACGCACTCCCTCCATTTGGAGATCATATAAGATACCTTTGGGAAGTTCTGGAATCTTGTCTTGAGAATGTACTCTACATTGGCTGGATCCACCGTGAAGACGTAGGACTGGCCAGGAATCCACAGTGGCACGGTGCTCGTGCCCTGGCTCTGGAATTTCTGCAGGAGCAAGTCGAAGATCCGGTGGTAATTGGCTAGAACTTCCACCGTGTGGCCAATCAGTGGCAATCCTCCATCGCGTCCTCCACCTCGCGAGAAGCGGTGGATTGAGAGCAGCGCTAGCACCAGCAGCAGCAATCCCAGTAGGATTTCCAGCTCCAACATTTCCATTTTTTTCGCCTTGTCCTTGGCTCACGTTCTTTTCCAGGATATCAGTATACTGGCGAAGCCTAATGAAGTTTTTGTCTGATTTCTTTGCACAATGCTGGACAATTGATGTCAAGATTTCATTTCCCACCATGGTTGTCCTGATTGCAACAATCTGGAATTGGACCGGACGATTATTCCATGCAAAGTAAAAAGAGGGGAAGGATTAAAAGAAAGTCATGCCCAGCAGTCCAGATCTCACCATTTCTAGCACCTCACCACTCTCAAGTTTTCGATGCCTATGCCCACGGTGTTGTCACGCCTAAATCACCCAGATCTGCCATACACAATACACGGCATCGTATAAGGGACACACTTACTTGAATCACCCGTAGACTTAGCAATAGAAGTACGTCACAGCAAAACCTCCCAGAATGAGTTTTCTCTAGCCACAGTAAATCTCGTTCGGATCGTTAAGATTCTCATCACATTCATGAGACAGGTAGCAAGCATATTGCACTGCTAAGTTGCATTACTCAGGAATGCTTGAATTTGAACCTATTTGAATTTGAAACTTACGTTCTTTCTACTGCTGCCAACTGTTAGATACAACCCTAGAGCCAGGGCTGTGAGTCCCAGGTCGCCAAGGAACTCGTTCGCCTTCTCACTCACTGCCAAGCAGCAGCAAGTGTCCGGATCTGCGCAGCTCCAGCTGCCTGCCATGAGGAATCAAGAGAGCGAGCGATAATATGCCGAGGAGAGAGCCTCGGCCGTGCATGTAAGTGCCGCATTCCCCACTTCTCTCCTAGCTGTGTCAGTCTCACAAAGCTTGAATGTTTTGGGAGCAACCTTTTGTACCAGTAAGAATCATATTCCCTTCGTTAAGGGAGAAAAGAATGCTGTCCTTTACCGGTGACTGAGTCATAAACAAGTCTCAGCTTACCTTTTTGAGTGAAAATGTCAAACCCAAAATTGAGAAACAAAGTGTACGAGCAATGGATAGACTTGCATGGCAGAAAACAATTGTTGCATGGCCACAGCTCATTTGCCCGCCATGTGGTCCCGAACCTAAAATAGAGTGGTCTTCGTTTTTATTTCATTATTATAGTTCTATTCAAAAGCATTTCTTAGGATTATCAAAGGAAACACCATATTTATTTTATGGCAACCACAGTACTGCTTCTGCTCAACCTTGCACTGGCTTAGGGCAAGTGCACGTCTCGCAGCTGCAGGTCCTGCCGCACTTGCAGAATGGCTCGCCGGATGCCGTCATCTTGGCGCAGGTACACGTCTCGCAGTTGCAATTTGCGCCGCACTCACAAAACACCCCCTCGTGACCACTGAAAGAAGAAACACAGGAACCCAAATGGAACAAAATAAATGCAAGAATTATAAAAGATCAAACTTTTGAATCCAAGAAACCCTTCCAAGAATAATTCAAGGGATTATCTCAACTTACCCTCGTCCGGTTGCGGAAGTTGCACCACCACTGGCCGCAGTGGCAGCACATCTGCAAGAATCGGAAACCACCATCAAATTAGCAAAAACGGATATAGATTTGCAAAAGAAGTCAAGGGAATCTTACTTGCAATCGTCCCCGCAGGGGCAGGGAGACCCGGAAGCGCAACCGGCAGTGCAGTCACAGGTGTTGACAGTGGTGGCCATCACGCAGATCAAACAAAGAAAAAGAAAAGAGAGAGGAAAAAGAGACTGCGAGAGAGATGGATCGAGTGATTCGTTTCAAACGAGCCCTCCATTTTATAAAACAACCCCATGCAAATGGAGAGCCCGCGTGGCGCGCGCAGCCACCGCCAATTGTCCGATTCCTTCTTTTTTTGGAGCTAACCCTCAAAACAAGTATATAAGCTTCTGTGCATTGTTTGGTTTCTATCTTTCGGACGCTGTGACGCAAAGGCCGTTTGCCATGGAGAGAATTGCCATCATGCGGTACTTGACTTGGTGGCCCGGGACGAGCTCGAAGCGGAAGAATCGGCAGAGCGTCGCGGCGGTCATCTTCATCTGGAGATAAGCACTGTCCTTTCCAAGGCAAATTCGAGGACCCGCCTGCACGAACAAAACGAAAACACGACGAGAGTTTAGATATCCTTTCCTGTTGAAACGATCAAGAGCTGCTAGTGTGTGGAAGGAATAAGAAGAACACGGAACACGAGAGAGAGGAAGTGGCAGACCCCACGCCAAGAATATGATCAAAGGACCAAGAAGAGATCAAAGAACTTTAGCATCGAACTTTCGCTTCCCTTTTTTTTTTTACTCTCTCGCAGCAGCTCAGGAAAGGAAGGAAAGTTTCCACACCACTCGCATGCTTCTCAGAGAGCACTGAAAGGAGGGAGTACCTGGAATGCGGTGAATTTGAATGGCGAGACGGGCTGGAAGACTCCGTCCTTGGAGAGCCATCTCTCGGGCTTGTACTCGCGAGCGTCTTCTCCCCAGAGAGACTCCATCCGTCCCATGCACCACGGAACAAAGTTGATCTGGTCCCCGGCTTTCACTTTCTTTCCGTCTGGAAGTGTATCGTCGGCCAGCACGCCTTTAATGTCCTGGGACACACACACACACACAAAGGTGGTCACAGTTAGGTGCACGCTATACAAACAGTCATACATCTACCAAAATAAGTGCTTGCCAAACTGATTAACGCAAAGGAAAGAGAGAGACGAAGACAAGAACAAAGGAGAAAAGTTTACCTCTGGCACGGCTGGGAATAGCCGGAGTGTCTCGGTGATGGCCGCGTGAAGGTAGGCCAGCTTTGCCAAAGAGTCATACGTCAGGAGCTTGGCGAAGCTTGAAATTTGAGACCCGGTCGTAGTGTCTTCGCTGGCTTTAATTGCTGCCGTTGACATCTCCTCGGTCTCTAGCTTGCACAGCTCCGCGTAGATCTTGTCCCCGCAGTCTGGATGAGTGGCCAGCATGTAGACAAACCACGAGAGCGTAACAGCGGTGGTATCGCGGCCGGCGATGACAAAATTCAGCACAATGTCGCGCAATGTCTTGTCGTTGATCTGGTTCTTAGGATCGTCACTGAGCAGCATAAATCGAGATAGAATGTCTGCCTTCTTCTGCAAAACAGCAGAGAGCGCGTCAGCAACAAGTCACGAAACCGAGTTCCTCTTCATTCCTCAAATTCCTCGAAGAGGAAAAATTCGTCTTACTTCGTCTGCGCACTTTCCCTGTAGCTCAGCGCGCCTTGTCTTTATCACGTTGTATGTGAAGTCGTCTACAATCTTGGCATTCTTTGCGAGCTGAGCCTCGCGGCCGAGTTTAAGAAGGCTGCCGACCTTCCAGAAGGGATCGACGAACCTGTTGGTGACCCAAGCGTTGGCGTTGTCGAACGCTATCGCAAATTTGTTCTCCGGCAGGGAAGCGGACAGCGTTCCAATCTCCACTCCAAATCCTAGCTTGCAAATCGAATCCAGTGTCATCCGCATGAACAAGTCCTGCGCACGTGTATCGCTTGAATCAGCACAAAGAAGATTAGAGCGAGACGAAGTCACCTGCATATCGAAGCTTTGTCCTCTGCTCGTGCACCCCGATACGATATCCGCCAGTTTGACGGCGTAGTCTCTAAACACCACCGTGCTGAAGTCCCTCAGAATTTTGGAGGCGAACTCAAAGCTTGCGGTCTTCCTCTGCCGTTTCCACACCTCGCCATCCGAGTTGAATATCCCGTCTCCGAGAAGCACTTCCATGATATCGTGAAATTTGTCACCCTGCAAAGAAAATTCTGAGAGCTCGGAAAAGAAACCGCGGCGCATCCATTACCTTGGGATAGTTCGCGAAGTTGTTCTTGAGAATGTGCTCCACCACGTCGGGGTCGACTGTGTAGTAGTAGTCGAAGGTCGGCATTGGCGCTCTGAATGTCTTGGAATTGTAGAGCGTCTCGTTGCGCAAGAACTTTTCGAGTAGGAAATCGTGCATGTGATCATAGTGCTTAGCCAGTTGCAACGAAGAACCGAAGATAGGAAAAATCGTGAGGAAGGAAGGATATTTTCTTCGTTGTGCGTAGATTGCCAAAAACCAGCCCAGCGTCGCTACTAGAAACACGGCCGTAAGTCCCCAGCTCGAGCTAAAGCTTGAATTCATGTCGCTGCTTGCTGTGGACGACATAGCGGTGCTGAGCCGCGCCCCAAACAAGACCTTTCCCGCTGAAGAAGAGCAGAGGAGCACGCCAAGTTGAAGGAGAAGTCGTCGAGCCTTTTGAAAATTGTCCAATCGTTTCGCAGCTCTGTTTATGCTGAAACTTTTTCTCGAGGACGAAGACGTTGTGCGTGATATCGTTCCCCGGGCAGCGGATTAAGCGTCTTAAGCAGAAGTGGTCAGAAGAAGCGGTACCCACACCAAAAGAATTGCTACAGCGGGCGTGATTATAAAAATAATTCTTTGGAAGATCATACGAGAAGCACCTGGCGAGGATAAGTAATAAGCAGCTGAAAGAGCACTAGACACCGACCTGCATATGAGTTTTAGTTCCCGAAGTGTTTGAACTCTACCAAGAACAAGCTTGAAAGCTGAAGTTGCGATTGCATACCTCGTCCCTAAAATATATATATGGGTTCCCGTCCGCCCGCATTACATATATTCAACTTTGGTGGACTTCCTGCAAAGAAGCCTGCCTTTGGGGGTGGGCATGGTGCCAGACGACTGAGAACACTTTGAACCGTGAAGCGCCTGTTTGAAAGAGCGGTAGAAATTTTTGCTGTATATAAAAAAGAAAGTGAGTCGGGTGACATATCAATTTTGGGATTAAAAACACCTACCTTATTGACTATGGAGTGGATCTGATCCTTCGAAACTGATCAAAGGATCAAAGGTCTACACGATGGTCCTCAAAAACATCCTTGCACGGAATTAAAACCGGAGCGAAGGTCAACGTTGTGCCAAGTTTCTTCCTTCGCGATGCTTCATAGAATCGGAGCATTGATGGCACATATATCTACCAGCGAAATTTGATTTTTGTCTTCGAGCCGATTTGTTTGTTTCTTGAAACGATCGCGGAGACGTTGACGGCCAGCCTCGGTCCACCATAGTTAAGTTGATATGAACAAATACCAAAGTCTCTCTTCCCGCATCAAGTTACAGTCCTGCAAGTCGCAACTTCCTCTTTCGAGAAAGAGTGGTCTCGAGTGAGTTATACGCTGTATGACAAAGTAACGATGTCAGCAAGTGTTTGAGAACCGAGATTATACCTTTCGGCTTGACGCCTGGAGATTCCGCCAACGAAGCTCACTTGCATGCCGATACGTGTCGCAGCGGTTTACCATAAGAGAGAGAGAGAGAGAGAGAGAGAGAGAGATAGCTTGTATTCTCCAGGTCTGAAAGAGGATGTCGACGGCGCAGCAGGAAACCAAGAAAGGCTCGGATGCGGGGGCTCCAGTTGATCAGGATGCCTCCAGGGAAGAACTGAAGAAAAGGAGCGAACAAGGTGAGACGGTGATCAAGGGAGGAACCGGTGGCAAGTCGCTGGAAGCTCAGGAAAATCTCGCCAAAGGCCGCAGTAAAGGTGGGCAGTCCGGTCAAACACCCGTGGGAAGTTGAAGAACTTGGTGAAAAAGCTTATTTAGCATGTGTTGTTTCTGTTGTAGTTTGTTTTAAATCTGTGAAAAAGAGAGAAGCACCTTTTAGTTTCGAAGAAGTTTGAACCGTATGATCTACTTTTTACTTGATCTCAAACTTTTGGCTTCCGATGCAACGGCACAAGATAAAACAAACTATGGCAGATGGGCCGCTTACGTCTCCAAAGTGGCCCCAGTTGCTAAAGTTTCTTTTCTTGAAAGAAAACTGCTTGTACCTGGAGGCCAGCGCTGATTGATTGCCTCAAGTCCTTTAACGCATCACAAGCACCACTGCACCGTGGTTGCCAGCTTTTGAAGGCTAGAACGAATCTTTCCTGCAAAAAACTTCAGTAGATAAGGTCCAAGTATCCCACCTCGGCATCTAGGATCCTCCAAGCGCTTGCTCTTCTGATGTATCAGGTATGAATGCTGATTTCCTGATCCATCAGGAGTTAGAAACACCAATCCCAATAATGGTGGAGGAAGAGCTGACCTGGAAAGAGCCCGTCCAAAGAGTGCAAGCACTTGCAGAGAAAGGTCTCAAGGAAGTTCCTCCATCCTATATACGGCCTGTATCAGAGCGCCCCTTTCTGGATAAGCAGATCCATCTCGGTGACGATGGTTCAATCCCGGTTATTGATTTCTCTGGCCTGGAAGATCACCGAAGAGAGGATACCATGGATCAAATCTCGCGTGCCTGTGAGGAATGGGGGTTCTTCCAGCTGATCAACCACTGTGTTCCTGTACCCGTCATGGACCGCACCGTTGCAGCAGCCAGAGAGTTCTTCGATCTTCCACTCGAGGAGAAACAGGTATATGCTAACAAGCCTTGGTCGTTGGTAGGCTACGGGAGCCGCATAGGAGTGACGGAGGGAGCCATCCTCGACTGGGGCGATTACTTTCTCCATTATCTCTGGCCTCTGGACAAGCGAGACGTTGATCAGGAATGGCCTAGAAAACCAGCTTCATACGTGTAAGTGCTTCACCCTGTTCATGCTTTGGAAGAAAAAAAAGAATGACACTTACCAGCATTTGAGTCCAAAGTGGTCCATTTGGTTGCCATCTCTCAGCACCAAAAATTCAATCATCCTTTCTCGAATTCCAGCTATAAACATCAGGCGCCTCATAGCTTTAGCCACAAAGATTGCCGGAAATTTAGCAAAACACTTACTTGGATCTTTCCTTTGCTGCGCAGGGAGACCCTTGACGAATACACTCACGCGCTCCACAATCTTTGTAGCCGCTTGCTGGAAGCTCTATCCGAGAGCCTAGGGCTGCGAAAGGATTACATTGGCGAGATCTTTGGCTGGCCGGACACAAACCTGGTGCTGCGCATCAACTACTACCCGCCGTGCCCGTCGCCAGATCTCACGCTTGGCGTCGGCTCTCACTCCGACGGCGGTGTCATCACATTCCTCCTCCACGACAACGTCCCCGGCCTCCAGGTTATCTTAAACCCTAAACTTGAGTTTTGGCGCCAAAAGCAGTCTTTTAAAAATTTGGGGGAATTTTTCTCTTCCAGGTTCGCAAGGGAGATCGCTGGCTGCTGCTGGAGCCGATCCCCAACGCGATCGTGGTGAACATCGCGGACCAATTGCAGGTGTGATCCACGATTCCTAGCGAAATTTTGAGGGATTTCAGCGACATTTTCCTGCCAGATTCTCAGCAATGGGCGATTCAAGAGCGTGGAGCATCGCGTAGCGGTGAACAAGGACACCGTGCGAATGTCCCTGGCGACGTTTTGCAATCCAGATGTGGACACGATCATCGCTCCCGCTGAGGATCTCGTGAACGATGATAATCCCGTGCTCTACAGAGCCATGACCTATGGCGAATTTCTGGAGTCGCTCTGTAGGGATGGATTGAAAGGGAAGGACTATGTGGAGTCCTTCCGGAGATGAGAGTGTTAGTTGGTTTTGTGTGTTTTGTGTTAAGGCTTAAGAGGGCGGTGGTTCGAAACTCTACATCATCATATTTTCGTTGCGAACGGAGGTTCGAATCTCACCTTTGACACTGAGAATCTAATTTTGTTTTGGCTGGATATTCCATTTTTATTTTGCTCGAGGGGAGGAAGGAGAAAGGGTTCGCCCGGAGCGGCGATGGATCCTTTCGAGAGTTTCTTCCGCCAGGCGGATGTGGACGGCGACGGCAGGATCAGCGGGATGGAAGCTATTGCCTTCTTCCGGGGCGCCGGATTGCCGCAGATCGTCTTGGCCAAGGTAAGAATTCGCGCTCGCTTTGTCCCGGATTTAGGTCTTTGGAAATGCCTGCATTCTCCGGACGAGCTGGACGATGGTTTTCCCGGGCGGCTGAATCGATTTCTTTGCGCATTCTTGACAGATCTGGCAGCTCGCGGATCAAGCGCAGCGAGGGTTCCTCACAAAGCCAGAGTTTTTCCACGCGTTGAAGCTCGTCACTGTCGCGCAGTCTGGGAGAGAATTAACTCCGGAGATCTCCAGAGCCGCATTGCTAGGGCCAGCGTCTACGCAAATCCCACCTCCAAGAATAATTCCAGCTCAAGTGCCAGTGTCCTCGCCTTCGCCACCGCCAGCGTATAGGCCACCTTTGCAAAACCAACGAGTAAGTTATACTGGGCAGCAGCCGGGCCTCACTCCAGAGCCTCCGGCTCGCCCGTTCCAGCCACCACCTCCAGCTCCAGTTGCTACCACCAGCGCCGCCACTCCAGATGCTTTCGGTGCTCCATCGTTCCAGGCATTCCCGGAAGCTCCAAAGGCTCTGGTCAGCCAAGTTTCCACGTCCTCGATTCTTGGAGCAACCCCGAGCTCGAGCACGACTCCAACTAGTGTGTCTACTGCTCCAGCGGTTTCTTCGGCTCCAACGTCCTTTGCTGCCGATGGCTTTGGAGGTGAATCATTCAAAGCGTCTCCATCCCCGCGGCCTGTGCTTCCCGATGACTTTGGAGGTGATTCATTTTTTGCGGATTCTAGCCAGGCAATCGTTCCAGTCGCAACACTTGGTCCTAGCCCGACCGTTGGTCTCGGTACGGCCATTGTTCCAGTTACAGCGCTAGCCCCGACGCCTCCTCCAACGCCTCCTCCGGTGCAGACTTTCGGCCAACCAGTTGAAGTTCCGAGTTCTCCTGCAAGGCCTTATGCGCCACCGGTTCAAAATATCCATCATACCTGGCCGAAGATGACACAAGGAGATATCGAACGCTACAGCCAAGCATTTGCCAGTGTGGACTCTGATAGAGATGGGAAAGTTCGTGGGGATCAAGCGCGGGACGTGTTCTTGAGCTGGGGTCTTCCGAGAGGTAAGTTTGTGTTCTTATTTCAATGGAAGTAAAGTGCTTGTTTTTACAGACGTGCTGAAGAAGATATGGGATTTGTCCGACCAAGATGGAGATAGTATGCTGTCTTTAAGAGAATTCTGTATTGCATTATATTTTATGGAGCGCTATCGAGAAGGTCGACCTCCGCCTTCAGTCTTGCCTGCAGGCTTCTTACCCGAAAATCCATCTCCTTCTCCACAGCAGTTTGTCCCTACTCCTGTTAGACCTCCTGTTCTTCCTCCACAACGATCTTTGGGACCTGGTGTTCCAGTCATTCCTCAGGAGACAGGTGCGTAGTTCATTGATTTTTATTCTAATCTATCTTTCTAAGTTACATCGTTGCAGGTCCAGTGACGCTACCAGGAAGCCAAGGTGCAGGTCTGATGCCTTTGCAAGCAACTGCAGATTCTGCTCCAGCTGCGCAAACTATTCAATATAAGTCTAGAGCTCCTCCACTGGAACCGGAGCTTGTAACGCAGCTCAATAGGGACGATCAGGGGAATTTGAAGTCAAAATATCAGGAGGCGGAAATTTTGGACAGAAAGGTATTGTTTCTTGTATCAACTTGTTTCTTTACATTTCTTTCCTTGTATATAGGTGTTCGATCTCGACAAAGACATAAAACACGCTACCGAAATGATCGATTTTTATCGAGCGAAATTGCAAGAAATAGTTGAGACTTTAAAGCTCTACTCGTAGTAAGACTTACGCGTGTTTTTTCATCTTCTAGATACTGTTCAAAACTAGAACTGATAATCACCTGCTGGAGATCACTGAGAGAGTAGCTTCCGACAAGCGTGAGGTTTGTAGGTGTGGCCGCACTTGTTTTTGCTCACTGATAGATAAAGTGCAGGTTGAGGCGTTGCGCAAAAAATATGATCAAAAGTTCCAGCAAGCTGGTGAATCCAACTCGCGGCTTTTAGCTGAAGAGGCTGCATTTCATGATATACAGGTTTAGCTTTCAAGTCGTACATTCTTTTTATACTAATCCCTTTTCACCAGAGAAGAAAAATGGAACTTTACACCACCATAGCAAAGATCGACCAAAGCGCAAAGAAGGAGGGGCTTCAGGAGCGTGCAGAAGAAATATCTGGCGATTTGAACGAGCTAAAGACGTTGCTGAATCAACGAGCAAAGAAGCTTGGCTTGCGTGCAAGACCTTCCTCTGCTATGGAGCTGCCATTTGGTAAAATTTTATGCTAGTTATTTGGATTTTTAAGACTCTGGCTTTTCCAGGATGGCAGCCAGGTATTCAAGAAAACGCTGTGGATTGGGATGATTGGGACAAATTCGACGATGAAGGTTCGTGTTCTGCGTGAAGACATAAAGCGTTGAATAATTTGGTTTTATAGGCTTTTCTTATTTTCAACAAGTCGAAGAAACGAAGAAGCCTGCCGAAGAGAAGAAGGTGGCCGAAGAAAAGAAAGCTGCCGACAAGAAAGCGGAAGATAGTCCTTCAGAAAATGGTTCTACTGAAACTCTCAAGGAGAACCACGTGGAAGAGAAGAGTCCAGACGCTAACACACTCGAAGAGAAACCGGAAGAAAATGCTCCGGAAAAACCAGAGGAGAAACCAGTAGAACACGAGCAACGTCCTCCTGAAAGGTAAACATTTTGGATCGTGGTAAGGAGAACTTAACATGTCTTCCTCCAGCAGAAAGAACTCGGTGCCGGACTGGTCGAGCGTGTTTGGCGACGAGCCCGCTTGGAACTTGAGCCAGGTAAATCTCCTTCGCGAAAACTTACAACAAGCATTCGATCTTTGTTTTCTCCAGGACTTCGGGAAGAATGCTGCTGTGGACGGACAAGTATCCTCGTCGGGAGGTTTCATGGGTCTGAGATCCATCAAAACTTCCACCTCTGCTGCGACGAGCATAGCCGGCGATGCATCAGTCCCAGAGACGCCGCTCTTCAGCACTCTATCACCTCCGACGCTGGACGATCAACGGAGCGTGAGAGGGGGCGACGAATCCGCCCCCGAGACGCCGCTCTTTAAGTCCCCGGATCAACAGGGCAGCCGGAGTTCGTTCGCGAGATTCGACTCGTTCGGCCACCACGGCATTTTTGACGATCCGGGCACCTCGTTCGATGGCACGAACCAGTGGAGCACATTTTAGGAAAGGTTTTTACCCGCCATTCATTCATGGAATACAGTGAGCTTTTTTGCGTTTAAAAAATTTGACTGTTACAAGTGGGCACGATGGAGGATTTTAGGGTTCTTCGAGACGATGGAGGATTCTCCTCCTCCTCCTCCTCCTCCTCCTTCCCTTGTTGATTCTTCTTCTCTGGCGAAGGCGATGGGGGCCTTGGCGCTCAACCTCGCCAGCGTCGCGCGCGGGGAGCTCCAGGTGCGTGGAATGCCGGCGGCTAGGAATCGCGAGATTTTGCGAGAGATTTCTTAGGTTTGTCCTGGCAGGGCGCCGGCACCCACGCGGAGCTGATCGAGAAACTCAATCTCAAGGTGGGCACCGAGTACGACGACTACGCCGATTTCGCGTCGGGGCTGCTCGTGTTTGTGGAGCGGCTCAAGCAGCAGAACGAGTCGCTGTGCAGCAACCTCAAGGTCATCCAGGAGATCGACGACGAGGTCCGGCACCTGGAAGCCATCGTCTCCACGCTCGACGGCTACACTGCCACTCTCGAGACCAAAATTAAAAACGCTTACAACGCTTGAGAGTTACTTGTAGATCTATGATCTATATCACCTCCTATCTCCTCTTCTTTCCAGGCTAAAGGTGACTATAAACATGTATATCTATCTATGAAAATCTTGTGGGTAATTCTCATTCTTTCAAAAACGCAATATGCTGTTGGAACTTCGTCTGTGATTTAATTTGCAAGTAAATGAAGTTTAGGCATCTTTAATATTTTATTTTATCTCTAGATCCACATTCACTAACTATAACATTCTAAGAATGACATTCACATAATAAATATATATTCATTCATTCATATATTATTTACAAAGTTTTACAATGCCACAATGCCCCACAAAGAGCATAATATTGATAATCATACGTCATATAGCCTCTTTTTGCTTTAGCAACCCGACAGTTTGCAAATAATACCTGATCCGCTTGGTTAGCCAAATCACGAACGACTCTGACACAAGAGACATAACAGCCCAGAAGCCGCCACATAATCCAACAGCTACACCGACCGCAAATGCTTTACCATCTACAAAATCGCCATTCTCATGTTCCTTGGACGGTGACGATGAATCTTCAGGTCCAACCGTGCATGGCTTGTTCAGAAGACGGCCACACAATCCTGGGTTTCCAGCAAAGGCTGAAATGTCATTGAATGTGCTGAATTGTGCTGACGTCGGGATCGGTCCAGAAAGGTTGTTGTTGGAGACATTGAAGTATGACAGGGATGTCAAACTGGTGAGCTGGGGAGGAATCTGACCGCTGAGCTGATTATCGTAGAGCTGGAGGAGTATGAGGCGAGTTGCATTCGCTAAAGTGGACGGAATGGGGCCGGACAGCATGTTGTCACACAGCCAAAGGTGTTGAAGGTTTTGCAGCTGTCCAAGCTCGGGTGGTATGGATCCACTTAGCTTGTTCTCGCACAGGTCCATCACCGTGGGGAAGAATTCATAAGAGTAGGAAAGTATCTTCGCTGCATCACCACCTGAAGGAGATAGATTGTTTTGAAGTTGCACACCGCTAAGGTCGGGATCAAATTGAGGTTTCGTGGGAAACTTCAGATAATTGAGACTTCCCAGCTGTGGAGGAATGCTTCCAGTGAATCTGTTTCGGTACAGAATAAGGTGCCTGAGATTCGTGAAGTTTCCAAGCCAGGGAGGTATGGGACCTTTCATCCAATTTGTTGACACTGAGAGATACCTGAGTGAGGCCATGTCCTTCACTGCGTCTGGAAATGGACCGCTAAGCGAGTTGTAGCCAACATCCAACATCTTCAGTGACGTGAGTCCACTGAAGCTTGGAGGCAGATTACCTGTGAGATTGTTTCCAGTGAGGGCAAGAATCCTGAGGTTGGACAGGTTGCCTATGCTGCTGGATATTTCACCACTGAGGAAGTTCCTCATAAGAGCCATCTCGCGCAAGAGGGTGCAGTTGGAAATCTCGGGTGGGATAGAACCGCTGAGCTGATTAGATGCAAGAATCAAATGCTGAAGATTTGTGAGATAGCCAAGCTCAGGCGGTATAGAGCCACTGAGCTGATTAGATGCGAGACTCAAATGCTGAAGATTTGTGAGATAGCCAAGCTCAGGCGGTATAGAGCCACTCAAAGCGTTGTCTGCCAGATAAAGTTCCCGGAGTTGGACAAGATTCCAAAGGCCTGCAAAATGAACTTATGATCAACATAGCCACTGTGCAGAAAATTCCTAGACCTTGAGGAATGGAGCCTGTCAGATTGTTTTGCCCCAGATTAAGGTACTTGAGCGCCCGGATGGTCGAAATGCTTTGGGGTATGCTTCCAGACAAAGAATTATTGAGCAGATTGAGCACCTGAAGACGGGAGGAGGCATTGTACTGACAGCCATCAAAGGTGAGGTGTCCACTGAGATTGTTGTTGGAGAAATCTGCAAACTGAAGCGAAGGGAGTCTACACCAAACAGGCCACAACTTTCCGCTCAGACCGGCACCCGTCAGGTTCAGCTTGAGCACAAGATCGCTCCGCTTGTTCCAGACAATTCCTCTCCAGGAACTTGGATGCCCTGAATCATTCCAGCTCGATAGTGCCGCTCGTGTTTGCTCATCCAGTGTATCCTTGAAACAGAGCAGCAATGACTTATCTCCAGATGCTTTTGAACAAACGTGCTCAGGTTTGCAGGATCGGGGCCACTGCAATGCACTAAGCACCATAACCAGCAACATCAAATGCGCCATTGCAAGAACGGTGGAGTCTATTCTGCTCAAGAAACCGAAACCAACTATATATAGTGAAGGAAGAATTGGACAAACACCTGAAGTTGGAACAGGCAAATTGGATGAATGGAAAATTTGGAACGCATTACAGAGAGCGTCACAGAGAAAGAAGTTTCCAACATTCACGGGGAAGACAAACAAAATACGCGTTCTTGTATGGAAAATGAGTTCACACTGTCCCGTTAAAAGGAGGCGTGGCGAATTGTCCTACCTAAGCACACCATCTCCAGGTTGCGACGGATCAGCTCAAGTCACCATCAACTCCAGCAGTGACTCTTGCTCGCTTTGCCGTCATCTACGGGTGCGCCTCTACTCAACTTTCACACGCTAACATCTAAAGATGCGGCAAAGTACCTCACAGCCATGGAACGCAGGGACATCCTAATTGACAAAGTCACCCCTCAAGTAGTAAGTGTAAACTTAGTGAAAAATTTAGTATGCTGCGGTCACTCTCCAAAAGCTAAACACCACCAGCAAAGGTTGCAAGCCTTACAAGGATCCTGACCGAGCCGTTGCGAAAGAGGTGGTGGAAATGAATCCGGGCGATGGTGCTTCTTACGCTCCTGAAGCCGAAGTTCTTGCAGCAACCTTGGAGATCAACGATGAGGTCCGGGGAAACCATGCTCGACCATCTCTGAAAATCTTGGGTGGGTCTGGGATTCTTTCATCGATCTGTAAATTCATGGGCCAAGAATCCGTTCGAGATCGACACGCACATCCGTGAGGAGCTTAGGGCTCTTCAGAAGCCACTTAGAAGCAAGCACGCTTCTCCGCGTGGCGCGTCACGACGCGTTTCGTACGCATACCGTACGGCGGTCCCGAGCACTATATTGACCCCGCGAGGGAGCTTTCGATAGGTTTCTTGTGAGAGCTATGGGAGCCGGGAGATTGAGCGGCAGCCTGGAAGTGACGCTGGTCTCGGCCACGCTGCTACGATCCGAAGGTAAGATCGCATCGATCTCGGGAGTGGAAAGGTTTTGAGATTTTTTCTCTTGTTTTTGCCCCAGAGTCGCTAGATACTTATGCGACTGTGCGATGTGGAACGCATCAGTCTACTACTCACACCGCCAAAGGTATGCTCGTTTTCTAGCTCCAGAAAGTTTTTAGCTTTGAGGTTTCTATCCAGATCAGGGAGGTCTCCCTAGCTGGAACAAGGTTTTCAAGTTTAAACTCGATGATGAGAGCGAAGCGGAGACCATTCTTGTGGAGGTTTTCGGTGTCAAGCCCGAGCTGGATGAGCTCATCGGTCTTGTCAGGTAAGAAAAAGTTTTTCCTTTCTTGTGGTTTCCGACACTTGATTTAAAAACTGAAACGCAGGATACCGATCTCCAAGGCCGTTTCATCCGACAGGGAATTGCTCGCATTGACAAAGCCAGGAGGTGGCGAGTCTGGTCAGATCAAAGTTAACTTCAACTGGATTCCTTCCAAGGTAAGCAATTTTTCTTTCGTCCTTGATCGAGTTTTCATGCCAACTTTCGTGATCTCCACAGGATAGCGAGACCACCAAGGCTTTCCACCCCAGCGCTCCATATCCAGCAGGAATCGAGACAGCCTTCTCCGACTTGAAACTCTCCAAATCTCAAGAACAGCCTGGAGAAGCTCCATATCCGCCACCACCATCCTACGCTCCTCCCGCCTACACAGTCGAGTCCCCGCCATACCCTCCAAGCTATCCTCCAGCATCCGGAAAGAAAGCTCCAGACACTCCTTACAGCAGAGATCCAATCTATCCCCCGGAAGGCGGATCGATCTCACTCCATCCTCCACCGTACCACGCCAGCGACTATCCTCCGCCACCTCCAGTTCCAGCGTTTCCATCGCCAACTTACGCTCCACTCACGGAAGAAATAACGAGCCGAGGCCTGGGTGACAAGCAAGACAAAGGCAAGCACGGCTATCCTCCATCCGGCTATCCTCCGCAAGATCCTTACGGCTATCCTGGTGGCTATCCTCCCGCTCCCGGTGGCTATCCCCCGGCTCCAGGGGGTTACCCCCCGGCTCCTCACGGTGGTGGCGGCTATCCCCCGGCCGGGTATCCTCCGGCTCCTCCTCACGGTGGCGCCGCTGGATATCCTCCAGCCGGGTATCCATCGTCCTCGGACTCTCGCATGGGAGGTAAGAAGTTTGCTGGTTTACCCAAACTTTCATGAAATTAACATTGTATGATCACAGGCCATGGAATAGCTGGAGCTATCGCTGGTGCCGCCGCGAGTATGCTCGGCGGTGGAGCTCATGGAGCTCACGGCGGGTATGGCTATGGTCAGACTGGTCACACTCCCGGTTATGGTCACGCCCCTGGTTATGGTCACGCCCCGGGCTATGGACACGCCCCCGCCCCCTATGGGTATGGACACGGCCACGGTAAGCATGGTAAGCATGGTAAGCACGGTAAGCATGGGCACTACGGCGGTGGATACATGGTTGGCCATGGCGGTGGTCACTATGGTGGTCACCATGGTAAGAAGTTCGGCGGCAAGCACGGGATGTTTGGCAAGCACAAGGGCGGCAAGTACGGCAAATGGAAGTAAAAGTTGCTCGTAGCATTATGCTTAACTCTAATCGTTGTTATTTTACTTTAATAAATGCCATCGTGTAAATATATTATATTTTACCCCTTGCTCTCGCGCTGGATTGTGTTTCTACACGCTTGCCGAGGCGACTGCGAGAGAGCGAGCGCGTCCTCCTCGGCGCGCGCCGCGATCTGGGATCCACATTCGCGATCGGATGCCAATTCCGCTGGCCGGCCGCTCGTTGTAGGGTAAGATCTGAGCTGCGCGTCTAGGGTTTTAGATTCGGCAGAGAGGGAGAGCAAGGGGGAGATGGTCCAGCTGGGAGGAATGCGGCGCTGCCTCGCCGCTTGGATCCTGCTCGCGCTCGCCACTGCTGCGAGTGGCTCCCTGCATCGATCGATTCTCAGCGCCCGAGATCACACTTATGGCGAGAATGACAAGGTCCCTCTCTACGCGAACAAAGTCGGGCCATTCCACAATCCCAGGTAGGATTGGATGGATTTTGGGGATTTTTCTCTCAAGGATTTTTTTCTGTTACTCGCAGTGAGACGTACCAGTATTTCGATCTTCCTTTCTGCGAGCCATCAAATCTCAAGCACAAGAGTGAAGATTTGGGTGAGGTTCTTGAGGGCGACCGAATGGTGACCACTCGGTATAACATCACTTTCAAGACTGACAAAGAGACGGAAGAGCTTTGCTCTTTCAAGCTCGAGCCGGAGACGAAACGCAAGTTCCGGAGTGCTATTGAGCAAGACTACTACTTCCAGGTTAGCTTTTTCCCCCTTCTGTTGACGTCTAGTACCATTCGCTCACTTTTTTTCTCTGGATTTGGCAGATGTTTTTCGATGATCTCCCCTTATGGGGCTTTGTTGGAAAGCTCCAGACCGACGAGAAAAAGGAGGAGCGCTACATGCTTTTCACGCATGTCCATTTCGAGATCGCATTTAATGACAATCGGGTGATCGAGGTCACTGTGTCAACCGATCCGGATCACGCCGTGGATATCAGCGATGATGAGCCCACCGATGTGAAGTTCACTTACTCCGTGAAATGGAAGAAGACACCGATCACCTTCGACCGAAGGATGGAAAAGTATCAAAAGTATTCCTTTCTGCCGCAGCATTTGGAGATCCACTGGTTCTCGATTATCAACTCCTGTGTGACAGTGCTTCTATTGACGGGGTTTCTGGCAACGATTCTCATGCGCGTCCTGAAGAACGACTTTATCAAGTTTGGATCTTACCTCTTCACTTTGAGCTTTACTAACGCCTCTAGCTTTTCAGGTATACTAAAGAGGATGAGGAGGATCCAGAGGAAACCGGGTGGAAATATATCCATGGAGACGTTTTCCGGTTTCCAAACCATCCAAAGTAAGAACTTTTCAAGAGATAATTCTCTTGTCTCATGTGTGTGGCTTGGCAGTATGTTTGCGGCTGTTATTGGAAGTGGAACGCAGCTTCTAGTTCTTGCGTTATGTATCTTTGGCTTGGCGCTGGTGGGAGTGTTCTATCCGTACAACAGAGGAGCGCTCAACACAGCATGCCTCGTAATTTATGCTCTGACGGCTGGTATTTCTGGGTACGTCTCTGCACACTTGTACCGTCAAATGGGAGGTGAAGCCTGGGTAAGAATAGTTTCCACTTGACTTCCAGGTGTTTGGTATCTCACTCAACTCTGGACTAAACCTTTCAGGTTCGAAATCTCCTGCTCACGGCATCACTTTTTTGCGGTCCTTTGTTTTTGGTATTTTGCTTCAACAACACCGTTGCTATATCATACCGGTCTACGGCTGCACTTCCGTTTGGAACTATCGTGATCATCTTCATTATCTGGGCGCTCGTCACGTTCCCCTTGACAGTAAGTATACTCGGGCGTCCCGCCTTGCGTTTATTCATCTTTTTGTTTCCTTGTAAAGGTTCTTGGAGGAATTGCTGGCAAGAACAACAAGAATGAATTTTACGCACCTTGCAGGACCAAAAAGTTCCCGAGAGAGATTCCTGCGCTTCCGTGGTATCGGAAAACCATCCCTCAGGTGATTGAAACTTCTCTACTTGGTTCCAGTTAGTTGCTCACAACGCACGCTTTGCCGCAGATGTGCATGGCCGGTTTCCTTCCTTTCAGCGCCATCTATATCGAGTTGTACTATATCTTCGCCAGTGTCTGGGGGCACAAGATCTATACAATTTACAGCATTCTATTCATCGTCTTCATCATTCTGATCATCGTGACTGCGTTCATCACCATCGCTCTCACGTATTTCCAGCTCGCAATCGAAGATCACGAATGGTGGTGGAGGTAAGCTTTTTCTCGTTCTCTCTTTCTGATGGAAGAACTCAAATCAATCGCTCGCTCGCAGGTCGGTCTTTTGTGGTGGATCCACTGGCCTGTTCGTCTACGGCTACTGTTACTACTACTACTTTGCGAGATCGGACATGACCGGCCTGATGCAAACTTCCTTCTTCTTCGGCTACATGGCGTGCGTGTGCTATGGTTTCTTTTTGATGCTCGGCTCCGTGGGATACAGGGCCTCGCTCCTCTTCGTCCGCCACATCTACAGAGCGATCAAATGCGAATAAAGAAAACCAGAGAGGTGATTGCTCGGCTGGACTTAAGATCGTTCTTGCATTTTGTTAGAAAGAAAAACTTTTATGGTATCCTAGAAAGCAAACTATAAAGGATATACTTCGAATCGACCAATCGCGAGCTAGCATTTATCATCCGGGATTTGCGAGAAGCTGTGATATCCATTGGGGGCATTTGCCGGGCGCTAGATTCGATCACCAACTCCTTTGGGTTGCCTATTTGGACTTGTTGCGTGGATTGACGATGGAGCTCTTAGAGATTTGTGGAAGTCCTTGGGCGAGGTTGCGCTGCGCTTTCGTCATTGGAGGGGGGCGAATATGCTTCCATATCCCTCGCAAAATCCTAAAGTCTGGAACCCTAACAGGGGGCAGAAGGGAAAAAAGGGAGCCGAGCAGTCGAGATTGCGGCTTAGGGCGGGGCGAGCTCGCTGCTGCGCGCCAGGGTTTGGATCGGCCGCTCCGCGATCGAGGTAGAAATTCTAGAATGCGGTGAAGCTACGGGCTGGGCTGATTGCGCTGCTGAAATGCGCTCTGATTTGAAGCTGCTGATCGAAATGGACCGGGTGAAGGAGATTCTCACCCACCAGTACTCGTATCCTCACGAGCACTCGCGCCATGCGATGCTCGCGGTGCTGGCCGGCTGCCTCTTCTTCATTTCCACGGACAATTTCCACACGCTGATTCATCGGTTTGACAACAATATCAAGTGGTGGTCCATCTATGCGTTCCTGCTGGGATTCTTCTACTTCTTCTCATCGCCTTTTCTCGTCAGGACGATCGAGCCGAGCTACTCGAATTTCAATCGATGGTACTCTTTCTTGTTAGATTGAAAATTATGATTTTTCTTTCTTTTTGCTTTATCTCAGGTATGTTCTTTGGTTGCTTGTTGCGGCAGTATATCATCTTCCAAGCTTCCAATCCATGGGAGTTGACATTCGGATGAACTTATCCCTCTTCCTTACGTTATTTATGGCATCGGTGCTCATCCTCGTCCTCTTTCATATCAGCTATCTGGGATTGTGGTATCTGGGCCTTGTTGCTCGTCTTGCTGGAAATCGCCCGGAGATCCTCACAATTTTGCAGAACAGCACGGTTTGTTTCTCCTTTAGTTTCCATTTTAAAATTCCTTCTCACTTGTTTTTTCCGTCGTCTCTTCTTTTTGTAGGTGCTGAGTATTGCATGCTGCGTTTTCTACAGTCACTGTGGAAATCGTGGGCCTAAAGGTAAACCTTTGGGAAGGCAACTGTCGTCCACGGTGCTGTTCGAGAACTTATTACACTCGAATCTAACAAAATGGATAAACAACTGGCCTCCAATGCACGAAGTAAAAGAACAAGTGTGTCACAACTGGCTTGGTCCGGTTGGGTCGGCGGCCGACTATCCCGTTTTCTCAAAGTGGGTTGTTTATGGCGAGGTATGAAGTGCTAATTGCAATATGTCGGTGGGATATGATTAACAGCCTCGTGATTTCTAGATGGTTTGTCATGATGCTTGCGTTAAAACATCGGAAAACATTTCTCCCATATTTTCCTTATGGGCGACATTTATCGGACTCTACATTGCGAACTATATCGTTGAACGCTCCACGGGGTGAGTGGAGACTTTCACCATGTAAACTGAGTAACAAAACCCTTTTGTGCAGGTGGGCCTTGACACATCCTCAGCCGTCCGGTGCACGACGACGAAAAATTGTTACGGCTCCAGAGTTTCTCGATATGGTTCCATGGTACTCAGGGTACAGTGAAAGAACCTTGAGGACGCTGATTTCCTGACGCTGGTTCTAACTTTTGCAGAACGTCAGCCGACCTGTTTAAAACAGCGTTTGATCTTGTGATATCTGTGACGCTGTTTCTTGGTCGATTCGATTTACGCACTATGCAGGTAACGTTCTTTTCTTAGTTTGTTCTTTTGTATCTAATATGCTTTGGCTCCAGGCTGCCATTAGTAAAGCACAACAAACTGAAAAGGACGGGTTCCTATATACACATTTTCATAAAAAAGAAGAAATGTGGTTCGATTTTATGGCTGATACTGGAGACGGGGGTAACTCTACATATACTGTAGCCCGTCTTCTCGCTCAACCATTTCTCAAAGTTAATGTTGGCGGCCGAGAAACTGTTCTCCAGCGTAGTAGTTTACTTCTTCTTGGAGGCGATCTTGCGTAAGCTTCAATATTGTTCTCATGCATCAAACAGATTGTTTTGCCTTCTATGTTTTGCAGCTATCCAAATCCTTCTCCAACGTCTTATGAGCAACGTCTTTTTCGACCATTTGAATATGCAATGCAGCCCCCAAAGTTTTACAGGCCGGAGCATATCGCTGCTACGAAACCAGAGCTTCCTGATAATGTGGAGAAGCTTCAAGCTTATGTTGGTCCTCAGTGTTTTGCAATTCCAGGAAATCACGGTTGGTGCTTACTATTCAGTTCACTTGCAGTTCTTCTTATACATGTATTTTCGTTTCAGATTGGTTTGATGGACTCGAAACATTTATGCGATACATATGTCACAAAAGCTGGCTTGGAGGCTGGTTACTGCCTCAAGAGAAGAGCTACTTTGCCTTGCAGCTGCCACACGGATGGTGGGTGTTCGGTCTGGACCAAGCTTTACATGGAGACATAGACTTATTCCAGTTTAAATATTTTTCCGAGATTGCTAAAGAGCAGGTACTTATCCTTGAATCAATTACCTAGGTGTGTTAAGGTGTTTCTAATGGCACAGGTGGGATCAAAGGACTCGGTGATTATTATTACTCATGAACCGACCTGGTTACTAGATTGGTACTGGGAAGGGTCAACAGGAAACAATGTTTCTCATCTAATCAAGGATCATCTGAAAGGCCGCTGTCGTCTACGCTTATCGGGTGATCTACATTTTTATATGCGTCACACGGCAGGCCCAGCAGCCGAGAATCCAGCCAGTGTGCAGCATTTGATAGTGAATGGCTGTGGCGGAGCTTTTCTTCACCCAACTCACGTCTTCACAAAGTTTTCTCAGTTTGAAGGCACAACGTACCAAAACAAAGCCTCGTACCCTTTGCCTGTAGACTCCAGAAAGGTATCCCGTTTTGGTGCTTTTCTTAATTTGTTTCTCCTTTCTGACTCGTGCTCTTTTCAGATTGCATTGGGAAACATTCTGAAGTTTCGAAAGAAAAACTGGAGATTTGATATCATTGGAGGAGTTTTGTATTTCGTCCTCGTTTTTTCCATGTTTCCTCAGGTACTCTGCAGTCCTAAATTCTGCCGGATTCGATTCATCAATTCTATTTCTCTTTTATTTCCTGCAGTGCGATCTGGATAAATTTTTTCAGAAAAACACATTCTTTGGACATACTCGGCAGTTCTTCAATACAGTTGGACAGGTAATATACTTTCTACTAGAGGATTCATATGTTTCGCTGGGGGGACTATTTGGGATGCTTATTCTAGCGGTGCTCTTTGTCCCTGGAAAAGTTTCTCGCAAGAAGAAATTTCTTATAGGATTCCTACACTGCTGTGTACATTTAATCGTTGCGATCGGCCTCCTGCTTCTGTTGGAGCTTGGGATCGAGACTTGCGTTCGACATGGTCTGCTGGGCAATGCAGGTACGTCGATTTCTTTTCTCTTCTTTTTATGTTTCCATTGTAATCTGAACACCGGTTTCTTTTGTTGGATTCGTAGGCTACCATACCTTGTACGAGTGGTATCGATCAGTTGAAAACGAGCATTTTCCTGACCCTACGGGTTTACGTGCTCGTATGGAGCGTTGGACTTTGGGCTTGTATCCCGCGTGCTTAAAGTATTTGATGTCAGCTTTTGATGTTCCAGAGGTAAGGAAAAACATTCCGTTTGCAGTGGCGGTTTCTGAACTGGATTGTGCAGGTGATGGCTGTGACAAGAAGTAATATTTGCAGGACAGGATTGGATTCTATGTCCCGAGGCTTCAAACTCATCTATTACTCCTCGGTCTTCCTCTACTTCTGGGTTTTCTCTACGCCGGTGGTATCGTTTATCTTTGGAAGCTACTTATATACTTGCATCAACTGGCTGAACTTACACTTTGACGAGGCGTTCTCGTCATTGCGCATTGCAAACTACAAATCTTTTCTGCGGTGCCATGTGACAAAGACCGGCGATTTGGAAGTCTACACCCTTGCAGTTGACAAGGTAAACAAGCTTCATACTTTCTGGTGACATCACCTTTCATGCAGGTTCCAAAGGAGTGGATGTTGGATCCACTCTGGGACGAGGAGCAATCAGTGTCTCCCTCTTACAGCAGGAAGTATCCGAGTCAGTGGATACCTCTTCCACCTTACAGGGATGCCAATTGCAACGTCCGGGTGATCGACCACTTTGTTGTAAGCAAGTAAAAGGGAAACAGACTTGTTTATAGAATGACAGGCTCGAGAATGGCCCAGGACACAAGTAAGCCCGAGTTGGGAAGCCAAGAAGATCACTGGATTGGGTTTAAAGATTTTTAAGCGAATACCAGTTTGAAAGCTTGTGCCGTTTACACCTCGTGGACTTCGCTTCGTTATTGCTAGATGCAAACAGCGCTTGCGTTTGTCTTAACACCATGGTCATTCCTACACTGTAATTTGCTTTATAGAAGCAAACCCTCTCAAACTCGCCTGGTACACGACTTCACATTTCACAATCGTCATTGCTACTGGTCCTTGCTGATGCGTAGCTGTCTGAAGTAGAACAACTTAGATTTTGGATCATCCAAAGCTTCCCATGAAACTTGTAATGCAATGGAACTCATGGAAAGCAGAGAAACTTTCTGAGCTGCAACACCGGGATACTTTCCGAGTTATAGTGGACCCTCAACTATTCAGATTTATATCTGTTGCTATAATTTTCATCTTCACGAGCTAGCGTCCAATTCTTCAGCTTGCGCAAGAATACGTGGAAAGTAAAGTAATTGCCGTCCCTACCCTTCCATATTCTAATCAGGAGATTTGACACATCCAATTGATCTTCCCTGATAGGACTCTCAGTCTTGCGAGCGCAGCAGCATTTTGTTGGTCGACAAAAGCGATCAAGGCAATTGCGATCCTGGTATCTAGCATTGGAGAGCGCATGTAAATAGACGTTACTTTTCTTTTAGACAAGCAGCAAACATACGTTCAAGAGCTGGCTTGAGATTTTACTGACACTTGCGAGAAGAGAAGTCGCAAATATCATACCCAGTCCCATCTAATGAACACTCTTGATTTCCACTTCTTCCACCTCTTCTTGGATTGTGCCTGTACAAGCGAGCTCTGAGGTGGCTAGAGCTCATAAACTTACCGGCTTGTCTATACTTCTCTTTTCTTTTTTTCTAGAGAACCACACCTCAAGTCAATGGACTTGAGGAAAAGGCCTGGGAAAAAAATTGAATGGGAGAAGGAAAAAAAAGGAAAAACCAATCACTTTGTCTCGTGCTTAAATCTTTCCCGCACAGCCATAGCCCGCAAGACAGTCCTTATTAGATCTAGATTCGTGAGAGAGAAAGGACCACAAACATTCCAAAGTAGCAGTTTTTGCAGCTCCTTTATGGTTGACATGCACGTAGGCCTGGCTGGACTGGCAAAAAAATATAAAGTCGAATTAGTGTGAAAGTCTACCTCCTTTCAACTAGCTGGCGACTTTCTCGATGGAGCTGGAAAGAATGGATTCATCCTGCTTCTTTTCCTGTGTCAGTATCGCTCAAGACTGTTTTTCAGTAAGCTAGACCATGACTTGCAATGAGAAAACAACATGCTTAGATCTCGTGACCTGTTCTCCGCCAAAGCGCCACAGGCTGTGGCGGCCATGGCTGGTTGCGCCATGGCAACCATCAAGACGCATTGCAATTCCAGGGCCAAGCCAAGGCATGGCACCACAGATATTAACACTTGCATCATGTGACACAATTGAGAATGAGGGGATTGCCCAAGGTTTGTGGCAGCTTTTCTTGTGAATTCTTTTAGATGCTAAGCATGGGGTAGCAGTTCTCGGACTGTCCAGAACGTCCTCACGCCACAGCGGCCATACCACGCCCTTGGAACTCCGGCAATGACTAGTCCCAAGCCCAGTCGACCTTTAAGTTCTAATTCTGGTTAGTGTGTTTCTATGTCATAATAATCAAAATGACACATGTTAATATCATCATTCTGATAATTAATATCAATCACCATATCCAAATCTCTCGAGAGGGAGGAGATAAGAAACGAGATTAGCTAAAACCTCCACTATACTTTTATGTTTCTTCGAATTGAAAAATTTGGATTGGGATAATGAACTTTTATGTCTTGATTCTAGTACTTTGGTGACTAAATAAATTGTACATTTGATTTATATTAATAATTAACAATGTGAATTTACAAATTATACCATAAACACTTAGCATTGTTTGCTTACTTAAGTAAGAGTGCTAATTGTAATAGTTTTGTTGTTTAAAGGTTTTGTAATATTTGATTTCATGTAGAAATGATAGAAATGTTGTTCATTATGTATTGCATAGCTTATCAAATTTTATGGTTAGAATTTTCTTATTAAATATAAATATTTTTATTTTAAAAAAATAATTTATATATACAATCACATATTCATTGTCATAAAATATAAATCAATTGACAAGTTAGGTTAAAATCCATACAAAACTTCCGAAAATAATAGGGGCAGTTTTAATATTCATAAAAAATAACACTTGAAAAACTTTGAAATAGCACTTTAATAATTACATAAAAATACATAAAATGCCAAAGTAGACCAATCATTAGAGAATTTACATCATTTCCAAATAAAACATTAAAATAAAACAAACTCGGGATTTGACAAAGTAATAATATTTAAATATCTATCTTAATTGTCTTATTATCTTATCCATATAATACTAAAGGAGCCTGTAATTGGTCGCTGTTCGACTACGGTGCTGAGTTTGACTGCCTTGAGACCGGGATCCAGTGTCTGGATTCTGGTAGAGAGAGAAAATGAAATATTTTCGCTTAGGCAATTCCAAACAAAAGCCTCTGGGTTCAACTTCTAGAAAAAAAATCCGAGTTGCGAGCTCCTCTAACACAAAGAAGTATGCATTTTGTGCATAATTTCGCATAACACCCATACACGCTCTTGGGGCGCTCCGAGTCCTTCCGCCCATGGAAAGAATGTGGCCGATTCCATTCCATCCCATCAATAAGACGCCCGAACTTTTGCCATTTTTATAACGCGGGATTTTGGGTTGGAATCAGTTGAGAGAGTTGGAGCTTTTTGAGCTGCTGACTTCTCCAAATTCTCGACTCTCGAGGCTGAGCATGGGTTGCATCACGCAGCTGGTCCCACAATTTTCTCCATCTTCTTCTTCGTCTTTCTCGTGCTCGATCCTCCGCCATTCTTCCAAGCCGGTTTCAGGCGGGAAGAGAAATTCTGCCAAGTTGGTCACTGCAAACTCAGCCCCGCGATCGCGATCCTCGTTGCTGCAAACGCGGAGACAACATAAACAACCCAGGAGGCCTCGCCTGAGAATGGAAGCGAGCGAACATCCAGCAGCAGCTACAGCAGCCTCCCACCAGGAAAAGCCGAGGAGTTCATCCAGCAACCGGAACGCAAAGCTTGTCATCAATGGAGATGGCGGCCAAGCTAGCCAAGAATCGCCGTCGTCGACCACGACGATCACTGCTAACATGATGAGCGCATTCCCGTCCTGGGTGCCGGAGGGATCATCGTCGCTGATTGGGAGCGAGAATATGGACAGGGAAGGGCTGGGGATCAAGCATTTCCTCAAGGACAAAAACATCCTCATCACCGGTGCTACTGGCTTCCTCGCCAAAGGTTCAAACTTCCTGAGCCACTTCTTTAGATTTTTCTCAATTTTTCTTTTTTTTTTTGTCATAGTTCTCGTGGAGAAGATTCTAAGAACACAACCCGACGTCGGCCATCTCTTCCTCCTCATCAACGCAAAGTCGAGTCAGAGTGCCAGCGAGAGACTCCGAAAAGAAGTATAGTACAAAAACTTTATTTGTGATGGACGCTCCATTGGTTTTGACATCGTAAATGCAGGTCCAATGCTCGAGGCTATTCCAAGTGCTCCAGGACAAGCACGGGGACGAGTACGAAGATTTCATCCAGGCCAAGCTTACTGCGGTCGCCGGGAATGTGGCCAAGGAGGACGTCGGGATCGACAAGGATGTTGCGCAAGCTCTGGCCAGCGAAATCGACGTCATAGTAAACTCGGCCGCGACCACCAATTTCATAGAAAGGTAGAGCGATATTTTCCTATTTTTCTCTTCTCAAGAGGGGTTATCTCTTCTCTCCAAGGTACGACACTGCTTTGGATATCAACACAAAAGGTCCCTTCCATCTCCTCGAGTTCGCCAAGAGGTGCCATCGCCTCAAGCTTTTTCTTCACGTATCCACAGGTAAGATAAACAAAAGAAGAAGAAAACAAGGATGATCTTTGTTTTCGCAGCCTATGTCAATGGGAAGCGCGTTGGGCGAGCTCTGGAGAAACCGTTTCGAATGGACGAGAGCATTGCGCGGGAGAGCTTGGGCAACGAGAGCGCCCCATTGCTGAGCGTGGCCCAGGAGATCGAGTCCGTGTGCAAGCTGTCGTCGTTGGCTCCGGCCCACGACAAAGACGAGGTTGCCCAGCAAACCGCCTTCATGAAAGAGCTCGGGCTCAAGAGGTCGGTCCAATCATAAAACTCCCGACTCTTTTCTTACGTTTCTTTCGCGAAAGCTTTCTAGTTTTGCAAGGCTGACTTAAGTTTTCTGTGCTGCCCACAGGGCAGCTTTACATGGATGGCAAGACACTTACGTCTTCACAAAAGCCATGGGAGAAATGCTCGTCTGTGAGAACCGCCAAGACGTGCCAGTGGTGATAGTAAGGCCGACGGTGGTCGAGGGAACTTTCAACCAGCCCTTCTCGGGATGGATGGAAGGCATCCGGTAAGCCTTTCGCTTTTTCCATGTAGAATCCGTCACACTCTTCCCTCTTCAAGCATGATGGATCCCATACTGCTAACTTACGGCAAAGGTCAGACGTCGAGCTTCTACGTTGATCCAAACGGAGTTCTCGACGTGGTAAGTTCGTCCAAGTTCCTACTTTGCTTTGCTGGAAAAACTTGCGTGGAATTTGGCAAGGTTCCCGCGGACATGGTCGTCAACACGATCCTGGCGAGCATGGCCAAGCACGCAGGCAAGAAAGGCTGCCTCAACGTCTACCAGGTGGGATCATCCGTCGTGAACCCGCTAACGTTTGACAAGCTCGCAAAGTACACGTACGAGCACTTTCGATCGCAGCCTTTCGTTGATCAGAAGGGGAACCCCGTCATGATCCCAAAGATGACCTTCATCACCAACAAATACACCTTGTTCCTCTACAACTACTTGCAGTTCAATCTTCCCGTTCTAGTAAGCCGAGCTCTAGACTCTTCGTTTTTCCATGGATTTTGACGCTGGTTTCTTCGTTTGCTGCCGCAGATCTCCAGGTTGTTTCCATGGTTCCAACGGGAGGACACTCAAAGACGGCTGAAATACCTCTCGTATGCCTCGCAGAGAGTGAACCAGCTGATCGATACGTACGCGGCGTACACATTCTACAAAGGAAGGTGATCTTCGTCTTCTCTTTGCTCGTCTAGCTGAATCGCAGCTCGCAGATTCGACATCTCCAATCTGGAGAGGCTGTACAAGGAGCTATCGGCCGAGGAGCGCGACGAGTTTGGGTTCGCGGTGTGGAGCATCGATTGGGACAAGTACATAAAAGACGTCCATCTCCCGGGCCTCAGGAAGTACACGCTCGATGGAAACACCGCGTTTCGTCTATGATCCATCTCCTCTCAATGCTGAATAAAGGATGATTCTTTTGTCCAAATTTTCATTCTAAGATTAGGGTTTAGGGTTTATGCGCAGCGATGCGGGAGATTGCGACTCTACAGATTGGCGCTTACGCGAATTTCGTTGGCGCGCATTTCTGGAACTTCCAGGTTCGTGATCGGCTTGCATCGATCTGGGTTCTCGAGAGCTAGCCCTAGGCCGAGCGATGACCTCGGTAGCAAACAGAGGCAGCGTGGTATTCCGCGAGAGAGGTTTCAACGCGGCGCACGATTTCGTGTGATGGGCTTAGATCGAAGCGGCGGGCGAGTCTTGTTGGTGGAATGTGAAGTCACATTGCATTGACGACATGCCTCACATTTGCATCCATTCTTTAGCATTCTTCTTTCGATTTGTTCTTTGTTTCCTTCTCAAGTCTTGTTTGTTTCTTAGGATGAATTGCTTGGCCTCGCGGCCGACCATGAAGCAGATCCCGTGTTCCAGCGATCGGGCCTGGACATGGACGTGCTCTACCGGACTGGCGAAACTCGTCAGGTAAATCTTTTCTAGGATTTTCGTCCTGTTGTTTTTCAACTTGATACTTTCGTTTATCTACCAGGGTGTCGCGACCTATACCCCGCGACTGGTAGCGATCGATCTACGAGGTAATCTCTCTCGTGCTAGACAATGTTGTGTTATTTCTCTATACAGTGTCTATGCAGGAAGCCTAGGAGCTGTGCGCTCGTCTGGGTCGCTTTATGATGAAGGGCAAGGGGTATTGCATGGAACGCAACTTCATACTTGGTATGAGCTTTGTTTTTTCGCGGACAGGGATGACATTGTTGTAATACAGGACTGGGCCTGTGTCGTTGCACAAAGAGGAACCGCCGGAAAAGAGTGAATTTTTGAAACGGTTGGAGGCAGAAGAAGCTGGCCAGCAGTCGAACGCAACAGACGAGACGATTGTGCAGGGGCTCGATGAAAGAGTTCAATCGTGGACGGACTACTCTAAAGTACAGTTACATCCTCGCAGTGTCTACGAGATCGAGGGTGTTTGGAACACAGTGACGCCTTTCGACAGCTTTTGCCATGGGAAGGGGTTGTTTACGCAATCCTTTCGCCTTGAAGAGTTCCAAGAGCGCTTCCGGTTTGTCGTCGAAGAATGCGATCATTTGCAGGTGCTCTTTAGCTGCAAACGTTTCATGGATAATCACCAGGGTCTTTTCAGGGTGTTCAAGCTCTTGTAGATGATTCTGGAGGCTTTTCGGGAGTTGCAAGCGACATACTGACAAACTTTGAAGACGAGTACGGGGGCATACCTTTCATGCTCTTCACGGTTCGGCCTCCCGAGGAGGAACCGCGTCCTGTCGTACGCTCGCTCCATGATGCTTTTTCGTTTGCGTCTTTATCATCGATTGGAGACATCGTCGTTCCTCTTGGTCTTCCTCAGCTATCTCGAAGTAAGTATCAAGGGATGCTTATTTCTTGCGCTTAACATTTTTTGTGTTCTTCAGGTGCGTTTGCGAGACACTTGACGATTGACGATGCAAAGGTTTTCCAGACAAGCGCTGTTTATGCGGGAGCTTTACATAATGCGACTCTTCCGTTCAGGATGCTGGCTTCCTCTACACAGGCTGGAGGCTGTGATATGGGAGTTCTAGTGAAGGGCCTCACGTACGCCACCAGGAACGTTGCTAATCTATCCGCTGCCTTGCCTTCAGGTATGTCATCGGTTTTTAAGAAAGATCTGCGAGAACCTTTGGTTTTTTTTCTCTCCGTCTGTAGATGGCATTACAAGAGGCTTGGATTTGTCAGCTCTCACTCCGGAGGTTGCACTAGCTTCTTCACAGGACTACGCTGCAGAAAGCTATGTCATACAAGGTGCTCGCCTCGCAGGTATGACAAGCTTATAATCTAATAGATCTTTCTGATACGCTGAAAGCAGGATCCAAAGGACTTGCTACTGTTACCGATGTCATGAAGTCCATTAACTACGAAAAGCAGAAGTTTTCAAGTCACGTCGCTTGTTCGCCATGTCCCTTGCCGGTGCCTCTTCCTTTCCCTTCCATCTTTCGCTCTTCAGTCGGCCGATATGGTGATATTATACTCGAAACTTCTCCATCGTCAGCTACGGGAAGGGGTGCCTTGGACGTTTTTAGCGTTCCAGTCGCTACGAGCTTGCGGACCGATAAGGGGATAGAACCATACTTGAGACGGCGGCTGAGCGATATCGAGCAGCTGGGATTGAAGAGACAGTCTCCTGTGCTACAAGGCTGGGATCTGGCAAGAGAAGACGTGGAGGAGTTGAGAGAAGTTCTTGCCAACACTCTTGCGAGGTACGCCGACGAGACTGAGTTTGATTCCTCGTAAGTGGATGTAGTCTACAAGTAGTGAGTTGCAAAACTTTGAAAGAGCTTATCTTTTCTTCTCTCTTTTGTTCTTACGTTTGAGAGCTTTCTTCTTCCTCGGAATTTCTAGATCGGGTTTTCTAGCCTCTTCTCGTTGTCTTTTCCTCTGGATTTTCTTTGCTTCTTCGATCGGGACTTTGAACTTTTTGACAGGCTAGAAGAGTTCCAAAGTTCTCAGTGGGAGAGAAGAAAAAAAAAAAAGAAAAAAACATACCTTGGCTCCTAGTGTCTCTGCTCTTTCCTGTTCCAGTTTCTTCTTCTCTTTCCAGTTGAGATGTGAATTCCCTGATGTGTAGCAAAACCCGTAAGAAAAGAATCGAGGAAACGATGGAAGCTCCTACCAACAATCCTCTCCACTCCCCGAAAGATACTGCTCAGATCGAAATCTCGAAGGAAGAGCTCCTCGTTTCCATCTTGCGTGGGAGGCCTCTTGGAAAAAGGGGCCTCCTTGAGCACATCCGTCGCTTTGGACGACTGCACGCAACCATTTAGAACTCGCGGGCAGCACATTTCGACACAGATACCATGAAAAGCTTGCGATTCCTCCTGTGATCGTCGCGGCTGCCCCGGCGCCTCGCCGGATCGACGAATTCTACGACCTCCATATCGCCCAGAAATTAGGGTTTCCTTGGTTTAGGGTTTATCGCAGAAGGATGGGGAAGAAGAAGGGCGCGGCGTGCGCGCACCCCAGGAAGCGATTCTACCGCGCTCGCGCCCACAGCAATCCTCTCAGCGACTCGCATTTCCCAGTTCCAGTGAGCCCCGCGCACTGCGACTGGACGGAGCACTTTCCTGTTCTAGCCGCGGCGGGCGATGGATCTGCATCAGGGCAGCAGCAGCAGCAAGTTCCCAAGGTCCGATTTGCGGACGTGGGGTGTGGATTTGGGGGCCTGCTCGTCCGCCTCTCGGATCTCTACCCGGAGACGCTGATGATCGGGATGGAGCTCCGGGACAAAGTGACCGAGTACGTCAAGGAGAGGATCGTGGCGCTGCGCAAGAACAATCCCGGTCGCTACGGGAATATCTCGGTCATCCGGACCAACGCGATGAAGTTCCTGCCCAATTACTTCGACAAGGGGCAGCTGGAGAAGATGTTCTTCCTCTTCCCGGATCCACACTTCAAGGAGAAGAATCACCGCAGGAGGATCATCAGCCAGGGATTGCTGGCCGAGTACGCGTACGTGATGGCCGAGGGGGGGATCCTCTACACCGTCACGGACGTCCAGGAGCTCGGGGAGTGGATGAAATCCAACCTCGATGCGCATCCCCTGTTTGAGAGGATCAATCTGGAGGAGCAAAGCAGCGATCCGGTGGTGGAATTTCTAGTGGCGACCTCGGAGGAGGGCCAGAAGGTCGCGAGGAATCGAGGCGACACGTTCGTCGCTGTGTACCGGAGAGTTCCATCGCCGCCATAGCCGGAAGCATATTCCCCATTTGATGCTTCTTTCGTTTTGTTAAAGGATAAAAAGTGCTCCCTATTTTTTGGGTTTCTAGGGTTCTAAGGGTTTAGGGTTTGCTAGTTTTCCTGGGCGGGAGATTATGCCGCAGCCAAAGAAGCAGGGATCGCCGGATGTGGCATCGTCTCCTCCCACCGGGGCTAGGGTGCGTGATCGCTGTGGCCGCGTTTTCTTTGTCTGATGGATTAAATTTTCCTTGGCAGTCGCCCGGTGCTGCTACGGAGCAATCGGCTCAGAGAAATGGCTCTTCCGAGGGGAGGAAAATCTCCTCCGAGGACATCCAACTGGTAAGTTTCTCAAAGCTAGATCACGTATCGATCGAGAGTGTGGGTTTCCTTTTCTTTCTTCACAGGTCCAGAATCTTATAGAGCGGTGCTTGCTACTTTACATGAATCGAAAGGAGGTTGTACACACTCTCCACGCCCAAGCAAAAGTGGAACCTGGTTTCACGAGCCTTGGTAAGCTCAAAGCCGTGCACAACGTGAGAGAAAAAAACTCCTCTTTTTTGTTTTTTTTTTCTTTTTCTGTGTTCTTTCCCTCTTTACAGTCTGGATGAAACTAGAAGAACAAAACCCCGACTTCTTCAAAGCATACTACACTAGGTTGAAATTGAAGCTGCACATTGCGACTTTTAATCATTTGTTGGACCAACAGGCCGAGCTGAGGAGGAAACTGGGTCTGCTTCCTCAAGTTTATCCATCACAAGGTGGCTTTCCTCATATATCTGCGAACTCAGTCTAAAGTTTGTTCTTTCCTCTCCAGTTTCTCAGATGATACCAACGCAGCCATCACACTTAAGACACCCGGCCTCGCAAAACTTAGAACATTCGACACACAGGTGAGCAATGCCAGCTCCATCCTGATACTGCGGTTGCTAAACTCGAGCTTGAATGGAAGGGATTCATCGGCTATGGAGCTGGCTACTGCTCCCGGCGAGCTCAACTCTACGGCAGACGTTCTCTTCTCTTTTGGGACATCGGCGGAGCTGCCAGGCATGGGGCTCGACTCCAGCTTTGTGCACCAAGAGCCACAGCCCATGGAAAGCTTGCAAAGCGATGGAGATGGAATGAGCACCCGAGACTCTCTCTCGTCGCTCTCTCAGTTGCCACGGAACTTTAGCTTGTCGGACTTGACAGCCGACTTGGGACCGAACAGCCGGTTTCCCAGGAACTTCAGTCTATCGGATCTTACGGCTGATTTAGGAGCGGGTAAGATTATCTTGTTCTCTTGAAACATAACTTTGGGGAGCTTTTACGTCGCAGATTTTGGAGCTCTAGGAAACTACACTTCACCATTTGTCTCGGACGAAGCTTATCTTCACTCTCCAAAGAGTGGGGGCTTCGGTAAGATTTTTTTGTGAGTGTGTTTTTTTTTCCTCTAATTTTCTGTGACGACAGACGAAGAACCAATGCTGGAATTTGGAGATTGATTCTTACTCTTGAATTGTACGAATGTAACATGTGTAGACCATATCATCCACCACAATTCCTGGTTTGTATAGAAAGGTTTGATTTTTTTTGTTCTCTAGAATATGCGTCTTCGCGCTCTCGCTTGAGAAGAAATTTTAGGGCTTCTTTCGCCCGGAGAGACGAGATCCTCCCGCTCTTTTTTCCAGCAATGTCGTTAGGGATTTTGTGGCGATGGAGGTGGTGAGTAGTTCCGAGAGCCCGACTTCGTCCGCGAGTACGTCCACAGCCGCGACGGCGTCTCTGCCGCCATCGTTGAAATCCAGGCGGCCGAAATGTGAGTAGTGGTGAAGTACAGAGATCACAATGTTTCTTTTGTTTTTTATTTTGTTCTTTCTTCTAGATTCTAGATTCACGCAGCAAGAGCTTCCAGCTTGCAAGCCCATGCTCACGACAGGATGGGTAAGAGCCCCTAGACTTAAATCTCGTCCTCTTTGGTGGAATTATAATCTGGTTCTTGTGTTTCTTCTTCGTTTCTCCATTTCTCGAATTCCTGGCTGATTTCTTCATTTTTTTTCTTGTCTTACAGGTGATATCGATTTTCATGGCTGTTGGTGTACTGTTTATTCCACTTGGAGCCTGCGCTTTGAATTCGTCCAAGAAGGTGAGATATATAGCTCAGTCTCCTTAGAAAAAAAAAAGTAGAAGAAAACTACCAGGTTGTGGAGATCGTCGATCAGTACGAGACTGTTTGCATCCCTTCTGCTGGAACAAAAGAAGCACGGGTCCAATACATCCAGGACATCTCCACCGCCAAAGCTTGCACTAGACAGCTCCTGGTAGGCCATTTTTTTCTTTGGATGAACACAAGCAGTAATTCACACCTCTTTTTCTTTTTTGGTTTCGTTTCAAGATCTTTCACTGCCACCGTTGTAGGTCACTAAGAACATGGCCAAGCCGATTTATGTCTACTACGAGCTTCACAACTTCTTCCAAAACCATCGGAGGTACTTGTCCTTGCCTGAGAAATCCTAGCAGGACTCATTCTTCCCTGCAGATATGTAAAGAGCAGGAGTGATCAGCAGCTTTTATATGGAAATGCAAGCGAGAGCAGCATGGCCAACTGCGATCCACAGAGGCTCATCGCTGGGAAGCCCATTGTGCCGTGCGGGCTCATCGCCTGGAGCCTGTTCAACGATACATACTCGTTCAAGCTCAACAGTGTGGCTCTCGTAATCAACAGGAAGGGCATCGCCTGGGACAGCGATCGCAAAGACAAGTTTGGTGGCAGTGTTTATCCTTCCAACTTTCCAAACAATTATCCCGCCGCTACAAACGGTAGCATCATTGGTGGAGCAAGCTTAGATCCCAATACTCCAGTAAGTAACAAACGTGAAATCTCTCCCTCTCATTCTCGTTTACATACATACTGATGCTAGATTTTTGTTTCTACTCCAGCTAAATGCGAATGAGGATCTCATTGTGTGGATGCGAACTGCAGCACTTCCGGTGTTTAGGAAGCTGTGGGGGAAGATTGAGCGCGATCTCTATGCCGGGGACTTGATCACCGTGGACATAAACAACGTCTACAATGTCTACAGCTTCCACGGTAAGAAGAAGCTGGTCTTGGCAACCACAAGCTGGCTGGGAGGCAAGAACCATTTTCTGGGAATCGCTTATCTCGTTGTTGGTGGCTTGAGCATTGCGATGGCGATGGTATTTGTAGGAATTCAGATCAAGTGTCCAAGGTATGATCTCGTGGTTTATTGCTTGTGAATGACTCGTTGTTTGGATTCCAGGCCTCTCGGTGATCCGAGCTACTTGTCATGGAACAAGAACAAGGGTCGCGACTTAAACACGAGTCCATCAGCCACTGGAGTGCACTTTGAGGTTTGCGGAACTTTCATGTTTTTAGAGGTCAAAGCTCTTTGTTCTTGATTTTCTTCCAGGAGCGGTCGCTTGCAACAGGAAATTGAGTGATTAAATCCTTTATTTGCTAGTTGTAGTAACCCAAATCTTTCTCCGTTGGAACCTTTTCGTGGTGGGGATCCGACGGTGTTGCTTGCATGAGTGAGCTAGATTGCGACGAGCGGGAAATTTGAGGCTCGATCCTCTAGAGTGAGCAATTACCACAGGTGGTTCCTTTTGCAAAGCCACTACCAGATCTATCAACTGATGGAAGTCCAGAAGGATGAATTATGCGACTTTCATGGGTCCAAATGTTGTGATGCGTAAAAGCAATTTCTTCTTCCTCATTTGCCTCCTCAGAAGTATAGGAGGGTTGATGTTTGAATGATGGTTTTAGCACAAGCTACAATAAAGAGAAAAGTAGCTTATCCATGTTGAAAGCCTATACTGATCTCCAATGTATAGAGTTTATATAGCTCAACATTACACCCACAAACAAACTCACTTTCAAACCACTATTTTATCCATGTAATGTCTTGCTCGTAAAATCACACCACTTTATTGCATTTCATCCATAGTGCTTCTTTCTCCTCACTTGCTCCAGATGATTGTTATTATTTAAGACACTTTAGTTGTTATTTATGTCATCAATCCCAATATTTTAATACATATTCAACATTGTCATATCATAAATTATAAAGTCATATAGGCTTTAACATAATGAATATATATGTTCTTAGATTATTTGTTGCAAAAACTTATCTTGAATCTCATCAAGTAACTTCTTGAATTAATAGATGGTCGTTGAGCCTAATTGAAACCCAATATATTAATAATCATTGCACATACTAGACAAAATGGCTTTTTAATATTGTTTGACTTGTATTATTTATTGTATCATGTAATAATGTTTTATGTTTGTATCCATGCCTTTTCAAACACATCAGTCATGTCATGACTTGTATAAAAAATTGTGCTCTTATACATGACTGTAAAAGAAATTAAATAGATTAACTTTACATCAATGTTATCTCATTGCATGTCATCATAAATCCATAAGAATGATTTGTGAGTGCTTGGAATATGGAAAGGGAATACAAAAAATGTGCATATCAATTAACCTAAAAACTTAGCTTATATATAAGAGCAAGTGGTCCGGATTGAAACTAATCTGACGGCTATCAAAATCCCACTATGCTAATATTAGTATATGGCATCGTAACTGTACACTTGGCCCTCACATCATTCCCTCCTCTCGAAATAATGGAAGACCATCAGGGTTCTCTTGTAGATGGGCTAGAATCTGGAGGAACGTCAGGAAGAGGCATTAGTGGATTTGTAAATGGTATTATTTGCTCTTGATCCCTTTGTATGAAGTGTTTCAACTGCTGCACATGCACAATCTCTAGAGGATCAGCCTATTAGCCATTATGCCGAACCTCATAAACTTGTAATTCAACTTGCCGTAACACCCGATACAGTCCTTTCTATTGAGCAAGGAGCCCTTTAGATAAACCACGTACTGTAAGATGGGGAAAATAGACTAATACTAAATCATCCACTTTGTACTTCGCAAGTGGACGATGATAAGAATTGTAACGCTGTTGTTGTCCAACTTGTATGCGACCTAAGTATTCAGCAGACTCTACTCAGACAAGTGGAAGAACGTTTGTCAAATATTGATCCCACGACCTAGCATTGGCAACTCATGGCAATCGCGAAGATAAACTTAACTCCGTTGGTAATATTGGATCATGGCCATATAAAAGTTTATATGGTGAAGTATCAATAGAACTCTACACCCTTGTGACATATGCATATCGAAAAGATAGCAAATAACCATCCCAATCCGAATGCTAAAAGTTCACATACTTCATGATCATTCCTTTGAACGTCCGAACGAGCCGTTCCACCAAACCGTCTGATTGTGGATGATAAGCACTCACAAAAGTGTGGCATATCCCCAACCAAGACGTCAAAACATGAAATGCCTCAGCTATAAATGTGAGACCATTATCCGAAAGAATCCGTTCCGGACAAGAATGCTGGAACACCATTTGATTGAGGAGGAAGTATCCAACAGCAATTGCAGAGGCACTAGCAAGAGCACCAACTTCCACCCAACTAGTCAAATAGTCAAAAGCAATAATAATATACTCATTGTCGGCAGTTGATCATGGAAAAGGTCCCATAAAATCAAACGCCACAAACTCAAATGGACGAGAAACTACAATTGACTCCAACCGTCCTTCTGCAGCACGAGGGGGAGTATTACAAGTTTGGCACCAAACGCTGGTACGCACCTACTGGATAACATCACGTCGCATTTCTGGCCAATAGAAAGACCTGTGTAGCTTCTCGGTCACACGACAATGTCCTATATGCCCACCTAGAACAAGAGAATCGTGGTAGGTATGGAGAAACCGTGCAATAAAAACAAAAGGCACCAGTAGCCATAAATGATCATTAGGATTTGTTCCCACAAAATAAAGAAGGCCATTTTTAAGGCAATACTAAGAATGCAAATGCTAGAATAGCAAGTTATCAACAAGTGATGCAGGATTTTCAAACCCATTTCAAAACCTTTGTATCTGTGGCTCAAGTTTTTGAGCCTCGCAAACCTTATCAAGAGAAGGTAGATCCTGCTCTACACCTTGCAGACACTGAACGTCGAGTACAACAACCGCTAATGGCACAGAATCCTTATCTAAAAAATCCATAGACACCAAAACAATAGGCTCATTAGAAACATGAAAAGAGAGTGGAGAAGAAAGAGGAGCTTGAGAAAGGGTATCAGCATCAACCATAGAACTCCCAAGGCGTTGAATAACATCAAAATCATATATCTAAAGCTTCAAAACTATCGAGTAGTATGACCAACCAGGTTCTTTTGCTTTAATAATGAAGTAATAGCAGCATGATCACCTTCAAGTAATGTTCGAGAACCATGTAAATATGCATGAAGTTTCTCAAAACCCTAAACTACAGCTAAACACTCCTTCTCTGTCATGGAGTAGTTCATTTCTACTGGTTGTAACATACGGCTTATATATGCAATAGGATGATGCTGACCAGGCACATTCGGGCTTTCTTGCATCAACACACCTCCAAAACCAATATCAGAAACATCCACATGCAAAATAAAAAGTCGAGTGTAGTTAGGATATGCCAAAATTGAAGGAGTCGTCAATAACTCTTTGCAATCCACAAATGCTCGCTCAAAATTCAAAGACCAGATGAAAGATGACGTTGATGACTTCAGCAACGCTCGCAATGGTGCAGTGTGATAAAAAAGATGATCCACAAAATAACCAAGATACTACACCTTGCCCAGGAAGCGCTACATATCATTCATACACTCTGGAGTAAAGAACTTTAGAACAGCCACAAGTTTGTCATGATCAATTTGCAAACTCTTACGAGAAATATGGTACCCAAGATAAAGTCGTATCCTTGGACCCAAACACACACTTCGACCACTTCAGCTTTAAACCAATGTCTCGTAGCCTATCCAACACTTTATAGACATCACGAATATGCTCCTCCTACATCCCCTCCGAGTGAATCAAGACATCATTAATGAAGTTAGTAGTCACCTCTGGCATATCGCAAAGAACCTCGTTCATCATCCATTGAAAAGTTGTTGAAGCATTGTTCAAACTAAACAACATCACCAAAAACTCGTACAAACTAAACGGTGTACAAAAAACAGTCTAAGGAATATCATCTTCGGCCATCAGTACTTACCAGTACCCAGAAGTAAGATCTAGCTTGGTAAACCAACAACTTAGCCCTAGACGATTCAAGAGATCAGCAGTGTGAGGCATAATTGCTAAAAAATGTGTGAAACTTAAAAAACGTAACATTTTAAACGCGTTCAGAAATGCCATTCTAAACTCCCAACGCGTTTGCACTATTTGCGAAAAAAGACAAAGGTTTCTTTAGGGTTTCTTTAGGGTTCTTGTGGTCATGACAGGATGTCGCAAATGCTAGAGCTGGAAGCATGTGATACGAGCAGAGTGGCATTGGACATGTAAGTATTGTCATGAGATTCACACTCGGGGAGCGGACTGAGTGCGAGCACATCTCGCTAGAGTTTGGGCAAGAGGTGTGAAAACATGTAAGGCAATGAGGGAGATCCCTTATGAGGTTCTTAAAAAAGCTCGCAGCAGTTTTTCCAATTTTGAGCTAGCAGACCCAACAGATGCTGATGATGGGCAACTACTGCAGCAAGCTGCACAAGGTTCAGGGGGGCCAGCAGAGCAAGCATGGAGAACTGGTCCAGTGTTGGGACAAGCAGAGTAGCGAAACACAGATCCTCGGATGGAAATTTGGTGACATTTTTTTATACTGCTTTGGCTGAGGCACTGGATGATGCTGTTGTAGAGTTCTTCTTTGCCAAGAACATCTCCTTCAACACAATCCGAAGAGACAACTTGAAGAGAATGCTGAAAGTTGCCGCAAAAGTGGGGCGTCCAGCGATTGACAACCTCATGGGATGTGAGAAGTTGCGGACAACTAAGCTACAGCGAATCTACAACAACGTTCAGAAGTGGCTTGAAGATGTGCGGCTAAGTTGGAGGATATATGGTTGTACCATTGTCACGGATGGCTGGTCTGATATTAAGAAGCGGTCTTTTATCAACTTCATGGTCAATTCTGTGAGAGGCTCAATTTTCCTGAAGGCTGTGGACAGCAAGAACGCGAAGAAAACCAGAGCATGGTTGTTTAAGCAGCTGAAACAAGTGATTGTCAAGGTTGGTGCGGAAAACGTTGTGCAGGTGGTGATGGACAATGCAAGCAACTACATGGTCATGGGGGAGCTTTTGCAACAGGAGTTTCCACAGATTGTACACATTCGCTGCATTTGCCACATTATGGACTTATTGTTCGAAGATATTGGAGCTCTGTCTTGGGTGCAGCCTTTCGTCGATGGCTGTGCGAAGATAGTTACCTTCATCACCTCAAAGCCATGGGTTCTAGCTCTTTATAGAACTTTCTGCAAATGGGACCTGATAAAGCCTATGACCACGTGGTTTGCTTATATTTTTCTCGTGATGTCTCAACTTCTGGAGACCACGAATCTTTCCGGGCTTCAAAGAATGGTGGAGTGACTTGACTAGTTTAAGAAGCCGGATGGCCTGGAGCTGCGATCTCGTGTTCTCGATGACTCGTTCTGGGAGTGGTGCGAGAATTTGTTAATTTTGCTCAGACCTTTACTTCGAGTTCTTCGGCTCGCTGATCAGGAGGGGGCGACTTCAGGCCTCATCTTTGAAGCTGTTGATCGGCTGATTGAGAAGATGGATGAAGGAGCTCAAAATGGAATTTATGCATATGAGGAAGTGGGACAAATAAAGGATTTCCTACTTGAATCACACGGTCTGAAGGAGGCAAGGTGGTATCAAATGCACAATGTCATTCATGGAGCTGCTTTTGCTTTTCATCCTCTATTTCTGGGGGATAACCCGGAGAACAACAAGCTGGACAATGAGGCATGCAAGAACTGGCTGGAGTACATGCATGTTTATAGCTGAGGTGATCTGGACTTGCAGCTGAGATTGCAGGCACAATTTGAGAGGTTTCGGCAACAGCTTAGACGGCAAATAAGGTTACCTGCTGCCAAGGATTAGGAGACCAGAAAGTTTCCAGTAACCTGGTGGAGTTCTTTTGGTTTAGAGATGCCTAATCTACGTCACATGGCTCTCCAGATTCTAAGCCAGGTTGTTTGTGCTTCTCCATGCGAGAGGAATTGGAGCTCATGGAGCTTGATACAAACAAAGTGCAGGTCCCACTTGCTTCCCAAAAATGTTGAGAAGCTGGTTTACATTCACACAAACTTGCGGCTTACTCAAAAGCTGGAGAGTGAAGGTTTGAGGATGCTAGAGATCGATATAGATAAGTTGGAGTTGGAGCCTCATTGGAAGAGGATTTTGGATTTGCAAGAAGCTTTTGAGGAACCAAATCAGGCTGCTGAGGAATTTAGCATCGATGAAGGAATGTGTAAACGACTAAATTTTCCATTCTACTTTAGTCACTTAACCACACCTTCGACCACTTGGAGGAGTCTCATTTACAACCTCCATAAGTCCAATCCAAGACTTGGGACTTGCTAGCCCCAAGAATGGCATCCATGCCACTCAACATTTGCACTTGGTCCAAGTGCTCCACGTGTCCGATCCCATGACCGACACTCAAAGGTACCACCGACATGGCAGCCCGTTACGCTAAGGCCACGCCCAATCACCTTTGCCACATTGGTAGTCCAATACCACTTGCATCACAGTCTTGGCTCTCCAAGACTAGGCAAACCATTCGTGAGTGGTCATCTTAGATCCACTCCTTAGCATCCTTAGGATGCCCACCGACAAGGGGAATAGCCTTCCCCAATATCCCTCTATCAGTCCCCACTAAGTCCCTTTCTGCCCCTGGCCGTGTTTGCCAACACTGCCACTGGATCGAGACCCACAGGCCCGACCACTAAGTCCCACGGTCCTCTGGGACTTCCTCACCACACGACTGTATCCTTAGTCACTACACCAGAGGACTACTCCTCTGCCTTTCCACAGTCTAGGCCTTCGGGACAACATTTCGGAACACCGTGGCCTTACGCAAGCCTCATGGGTACTCTCCCTGCCTTTCGCCTTTAGGTGCTCTAGCCATGGGCTTAGAGCGAGGTTCCGTTGAGCCATGACAAGTATCCAAGTAGGTAGTGCCACCCACACTTGGACTGGGAGCATCGGCCAGTCGATCTCCCGGGGGAACTAGAGCCGGCTCTTGAACACTTCACCAAGCTACCCCGCTTGTCGGTCCGTGTTCACTCTAGTCTTGGACTTCCCAGTGGGCAGCTCATCACCCAACACTAGGTCTAGCCTTCCTGGGCCAAACTGACCTTTCCTGGCCAAACTAGCTCCACTGCAGTCCTCCCCCCTACTATACTTTTGGAGCTCACCAAACCCCCCAGGGTCTGGGAGACGAACGCTTTGGGCTTTCACCCTCTCAGACTCGAACTCGGACTCGACCTCGGACTCGGACTCGGACTCGGACTTGGACTCGGATTCGGACTCGGACTCGGCCTCGGCCCCGGTCTAGGTCTCGGTCCCGATCTCGGTCTCGGTCTCGGTCCCGGTCTCGGTCTTGGTCCCGGTCTCGACTTCGGACTCCATCTCGGGTCCATCTCGAACTCCATCTCGGACTCCATCTCGGGTCCACCTCGGACTCCATCTCAGACTCCATCTCGGGTCCACCTCGGACTCCATCTCAGACTCCATCTCGGGTCCATCTCGGGTCCCATCTCGGGTCCATCTCGGACTCCATCTCGGACTCCATCTCGGGTCCACCTCGGACTCCATCTCAGACTCCATCTCGGGTCCTTCTCGGACTCCATCTCGGACTCCATCTCGGGTCCATCTCGGGTCCCATCTCGGGTCCATCTCGGGTCCATCTCGGACTCCATCTCGGGTCCATCTCGGACTCCATCTCGGGTCCATCTCGGACTCCATCTCGGACTCCATCTCGGACTCCATCTCGGGTCCATCTCGGACTCCATCTCGAGTCCATCTCAGACTCCATCTCGGACTCCATCTCGGGTCCATCTCGGGTCCATCTTGGGTCCATCTCGGACTCCATCTCGGGTCCATCTCGGGGTCCTTCTCGGGTCCACCTCGGACTCCACCTCGGGGTCCTTCTCGGACTCCACTTCGAACTCCAACTCAGGTCCATCTCGGACACTTCCACGTGTCATGTGTTGGTCCTTTTGGGTCCCTTTTTTGGAGCCTCACTTATTGCTCTCTTTGTGCTTGTTCCTCGAGCACTTCGTTGGGAGTTCCACTCCCGCTCTCGACCTTTCAAGGCGGAGCTTTTAGTCCAAACGTGTTACGCTCGTTTGGCTTTCGCTTCGGCCACTACTACGTGGCACCCTTCCAGCACCACTTTGGGGCCTAGGGATTTTGTGTCTCACAGAATGGAAGATGATTTGGAATCGGAAGACGACTAAAACGGCTTCTTCTTTCATTTGTTTTAGTATATTATTCAGTTACATTTTATAAACTTAATATCAGATTAAAGTGTCTTTAGTAAATATTAGTGTTTTCTTAATCATTTTAGGCTTTAACATGTAAACGTTGGATTGTCCTGAAAAAAATGTTTTAAATGGCGTTTAAACGTCGACACATTGGAACGTTTGCATGTCTAGTTGCAACTATGGTGTGAGGAAGAGGGTACACATCCGAGATCGTCACTTTGTTTAATAGATGATAATCGATGTAGAAATGAATACTCCCATTAAGCTTCGTCATAAGATGAGGTTCACATGCCCAAAGACTCCATGACTTCCGAAGTAGAGTGGGATCCAAAATACTCCTTCATGAGCCGGTCAACCACTGCAACATAAAGATTGTTGGAGGAATTGGAAAATGGAGCAAAGCAAGATGGAAACATAGGAGGAAGGAGTGGGGGGACAAAAGTAATGGAAGTAAAGGTAGAAGTAAAGAGACAAAGAGGTACTAAAGTGAGAGGAATGGATGAAATTTAAAGTAGGATGAGACAAGGGGGAGAAGTTTCAAAGTCACACTTGGCATAATTGCACTGCAACCAATCCATACCAAGGATGAGGTCAAAAGCTTGACTTAACACCACCCACAATGATGACAACCCAAGCTCGAGATCACCCACATGCGCCGCCTCATCTTGTGCACATGCATGTGTATGGCCATTGCCATAAAGAATAAAAACTGACTTGGCCGCACAACACAAGTGTAGAGGGCAACGTGTGGCAACAAGTTGAGCAATAGAAGATAAGCGCGAACCTATATCAACAAACACGGAGAAAATAATAGGAGACCTCTTGTTATAAAAATGAGCTTGTAAAGTAAACACTGAATGAATCGGTGCCAAGTGAACTCCTTAATGATACTCCCGAAAGAAATATGGAGGGGTCACTGACTTATTTGCACAAGTTCCCTCCATTACTTGTGTAACTCCTCATTTCCCAAATGCATCTCGATGTCCAGACCTTTTACTACAGCAGCACCAACAGGACGTTGTTGATGCTAAGGTCTCCACCTAGGAAATGGAGGTTACCAATCTGGAATGTGCTAACAACGCCGATAAGTGTGATGAACTTCATCACATGCCCAACAGCGAACATCACGGCCACGGCCATGACCACATCCTCACCCTTGTCCTTGGACTCGAGCAGCAGTAGCATCAACCCATTGGAACAAGACCAACACCCACAAGGAGTGGAGCGAAAGGACATGCAGTGAGAAGTGGAAGAGGCGACGTCTCATAATGTTATGCCAGGCAAAGAGCGTTGTCAAGGGTGGCTGGAGCAAGTGCATGCACAAGTCTAACAAGATCTTGATGAAGTGCTGGCCACAACATTCCTAGCTTGATCCGCTCCGACATATTTGGCTCCACATGAAGCAAGAGGCTTAAAAAATGAATGCCAAATTGCATCACCGACTCAGATGGTCCTTGACGAAGACAATGCAATTGCTGGAAGGCATCATCACAATTGTTGACATGTTCAAATGCATGCTTGAAGACGTCCGGGAGAACACTCTAATCCCCACAAGTGGCTGCATTCAAACCATTGTACCACTACAATGCCGTCCCTTAGAGACACATGGGAAACTCATGCAAATGCCGAGCATCATCCCAAGAATGATATGTAGCAATCACTGTGAAGTGATCAAACCAATGGTACGCATCATCCTCAGGATTCCCATGAAAGAGCTCTGGCCAAACGCAAGGATTGGCACCAAGAGCAGGAGGAGCTGTACCACATGCCGTGAATGCCACCATCAATTAAGTTTGGTTGTTCAATTACAATTGTATAGCATCAAGCAATTGCATTAACTACTACTCTGCCATGAAGATGAATGAAAAGGAAAGAGCAAAAGAAGGGAAATGAGAAAGAACTAGAAAGAAAGGGAGATTTAGACAATGGAAAAGTTATATTTAAACCAGAATCCTAAGAGGGAAGAACAAAAAAAAGGGAATGGAAAAAACTAGATCAAGACAATGCAAAAGTTAGATTTAAACCAAAATTCCAAATCCAAGCACTCCTCAGGAACAAGGAAAGGTACCCCTCGTCTCCACTAATGTGAGTGCTTGGAATATAGAAAAGGAATACAAAAAATATGCATATCAATTAGCCTAAAAACCCTAGTTTATATACAAGAGCGAGTGGTCCGAATTGAAATTAATTCAACGGTTATCAAAATCTTACTACGCTAATATTAGTATACGGCATCATAACCGTACAATTGGCCCTCATAGATTGAGTTTTATATTAGCAACTTGATCAATTGGTTATGGTTTTCTTTGATTCAATTAGAAAGAAATAATTGACTTGAAATAGCATAACTACTAAAATATGCTTAAACTACATTGATTTGTTTGACAACCAAAAATATTGTTGTGAGTGCTCTAGATATGGGATAAAAATCACTTTCAAAAAATATGTCACATATATTGCAACATTGCCATGTGTACTGCCATGTTGTCAAAAATTTAAATTGCTTCTCCAAGT